ATAGATGTCTCTAAAGCAGGTAACCTATGCATCATTCCACAGCCACCACCTTTTTTATATATGAGGTCTATTGGACATCCTAAATTTAAATCAATAAAGTCTAGTTCTGTATTTTCTTGTAATAATTGTGCTACTTTAGTTATAGCATATGCATTATTTCCACAAATTTGTGCACCAAATATGTTTTCCGATTCATGCCTTTTTACTAAGGCCCATTCTTGTTTCAAGCCTTTAAGTAATGATTCACAGAGAGCCATTTCACCACATGTAATGTCAGCACCAAAACCTTTACAAACCCTTCTAAAGGGAAGGTTTCCTACAGTTGTTAGAGGACTTAGGTATAATTTGTCATACCAATCTATCTTTTTTTTTTCTCTAGGTTTTAATTGTATTAAATCCTCATCAGTTATTGCTCCACTATTAATATTTTGTTCTAATTTTGGTGATTGTCTTCTACTATCCATACTTTTAACAATAGTTTCAGCTGAACTGAAGTCATATTTTCTCTTTTGTAATTGTATTTGGAGTGAATTCTGAAGTGTGTTTTTAGTGTCTTCTTTCCATTCTATGATTTTATTTTCATTAATTATGTTTCGTCCTTCAGCCGTAATATGATTTGAACCAAAACGGCAAGCAATACCTCTGGGACATCTACCTCGTATATCAAATATACGACAAACTTCGCCAATATCCTTTGGTTTGGTTTGCAAATACTCTAAGGGGCTGTGTATATATTTGCAATTAGAAAATTGGCACTTAGGTTGCTCGTCATTAGGTTTTAAGTCTATTATACTTGGGCAGGGCTTATTTTGCTTTTCATCTTGAAATGTTTTAGGTCTTGCCTTATTTTGTCCTCTCTTCTTATTTTTTGTGTGATTTGGTATGTCACTATCGTCTTCATGTTTAATTTTTTTGGTATCAAGTGTAACGGTGTCGTTATCACCTAATTTTCTTTTTAAAGAGGAATCTGAATTATCAGTTCTTTGAACCACAAATTCTTCCTTAATAGCACACACACCTGCGCTTGAATTGGTCATATCAGATGTTTTGCTATATTTTATATTTCTAATGCAAAATGGGCTTCATTTTAATTTATATTTTAATACACAGTGCAGTAACACATTTAACACAATAATGGACTTATAGGTTATATTGACAATTTGACATGTTGAGTGTTGGTTGACCAGTATGTTTATGTATTATCTATGCTGTTGCTACTATAATCTAAATACATAAATGTACTCAAACTCAGTGACAGTGACACGTTAATATTCTCAAAATAAAGAATCAGAAGCCGCGAACCCGTCTGAAACTAAAACATTAAAAGAGTTAATATTATCAGGTTTTATTATTGACTAGCGACCCGCCCCGACTTCGCACGTGTGCAATGCTGAATGTTTGTTTTCGACATGGCACTAGAAACCTCTAAAATTATCAGTGTTTGTCTACTATATTATGCATGAATTATACATATAAACCTTCCTCTTGAATCACTAATAGATAGACTAATAAAGAAAACCACACCAACATTTTTAACGATCTAAGCACATACCGCGTGTCGTTACAACCGCGATAATAAATGTACACACGTCTAACGCTACTAGCCAATAATCATAAAAAATATAAAACGTTAGAAAAATACATAAATAAAAAAATATATTTTTCAAACTAACTAATTAAATAAAAAAGAAACAAAATTTATAACACCTATACAATTACAACTGACTGATTCATATATTGAGAGACTTTTTCATTCGTTGCCACAACGTCGCATTACAAGTCTCTTCTTCTAACAGTATGATTTATCTCTTTTAAATTCATTCAACCCATTCTTAAGCTTTACTGTTTTATACGTAAGAATGTTCTAAAATTTTTTGTTTTGTAAAATTTAGTAACTCGGTAAATATTGATGTTTAAAGAATGTAAATGCTTAATACAATTTTAAAAAGTTATTCTCTATATGTGTGTTCATTTATTGTCGCGGTTGTAATGACACGCAGTATAAGGGCGGGACGACTTTGTTTTATACTATGTAGTGATAATATTTTACGGGAGGTTGCTCAGATGCTTCTGAGCAACCTGCTTGTGCAGTGAGCCCCCTGGAAAAAAAGTTTAAATTTTCGGATCTGTACCATTTTTCCCACATAATTTTCGAAGAACCGTTTTTAACTACATAGCTATTAGGCATGTAAATACCGCACCAGTTCCGAGCGGGGATATATGATCAGCAAGGAATATCACGCAACGGGACAAAGACCTCCGAATGCAAACGCACTTACGAAGACCCCAATCTGCACAGCTGTGTAGTGTTCGGGATACCCCAAAGCACCGGTTAGCCAGAATCCCAATAGCTTCAGAGGGTCATAGAAGATTTCCTCCGCACGGGCGTCTTCCATTTCACCCCTCCCTTAGAGGTTCCAATACCAACGCGAAACCGCTGCAGACGTGGTTTAACTCCAACTGCAACTCCCACCGTGGCATCCTCTTCGTCGTGCCCCTCACCACTCGCGTCATGTCCGTCGCGTGAACAGCGGTGCAAACTAATATCATCTTTGAAAAAATATCTTTGACCACTAACAGAATCGATATGCCCGAATTGTGTACTCTATCGCACCAAACATATTAAGGGCACGTGTTCTGCTCTGGGCGCTTGAGAGCTCGAACTTTCCTAAATCAGGTCTCTTGAATCGATTCGTGCCCCCCTCAGACTCACAGCGATGTTCCATTTCTCGTCTATCGGATCATGCTCGTTTGCCGTTTCCATTTTGATCTCATTGATTTTTACAAAAGTGAAAGTATTTTTTGCTAAAATTTCAGAATCAGATCCACGAATATCCAATGTTGCAGTAGAACGCAGGTTGCCGTGTGATCGTATAGCTATAGCAAACTGGGAGCAAAGACATTCAACTGTCTTGCCTGAAGATCTACGTAACTTTTATGCGTCTAGTGATGGATTTCAACTTACTTGGAATTATAAATATTCTGGAAAGTATTTTAATGTTTTATTCGATTTTAAATAATGTATAAATAAAGCTGATATTTAAAAACTTCTCTATACAGCATGGTGTTACAACCGCGAACATAAATGAATACACTTCTAACGTTACTTGCCAATAATCATAGAAAAATATAAACTTTAAAAAAATCCATAATTAAAACAAAAAATTTTCAACAAACTAATTAACTAAAAAAGAAACAAAATTTGTAACATCCTATACAACTGACATCTGATTCATACATTCAGAGACTTCATTTGCCGCACGTTGCATTACAAGTTTCTCCTTCTAACAGCATGTTATATCTCTTCTAAAATCATTAAATCCATTCATTTCATATGCTTTGTGACCTCTACAAATGAACTATATGTTTGTTTTAGAAAATTTAATAACTCGGTAAATATTGATGTTTAAATAAAATAAATGTTTAATACAATTTTAAAAAGTTATCCTCTCTCTATATGTGTGTTTATTTAAGGCCGCGTTAGTAGCACTACGTTGTAGATATAGGCTCGCAATATTATTTTTTTATAATAATATTATATATATATTTATTTATACAACAGCTGATGAAGTTTTGCCAGTTGGGTCAATTAGAATCAATTCACTGAGCGAACTATACTTATCACCAAGTTTGAAAGATCTTTTAGACTTCGCTTTAACAAGACCGAACGGGGGCTCCCGGCCAATTCTCAATACGAAGAGCAAGGTTTTCGAATTGGATACGTGCAGGAACATTGGGAAGGTAATAATCATTACATCACTATTATTATTGTCTGTTTATAAATGCAACAGCAAAAGGTTCTGTCGTAGTTCTGCAACAGTAAAAAAGCGAAGTAACAAAAATAAAAATCTATGGAATAATCCACACTTCACATATTTAATGACGTTTTTCGAACAGCATATTTTCTTCACTGTTCCAAAAATCCTCTGTAAGAAGAGGGTTTCGTACTTAGTTGGCTAAGCAACACCATAATAGCGGGTTGCGATGAGCCAAATCAAAAAATATCGCTGATGTTTTTTGGCACTAGCTCTCTTGGCTCCCACGGCTTCTGGTCACCGAACTCCCGTCGTAGCCCTGCCGATATGCGCCTAGGGGGAACATCGTGGGGGTTTTAGTCGGTGCGAGTCCGACATAGCCCGTTCTTGCCCTCGCGAGGGTGGGTATGCGCAGGCCTTCCGAGGAGGCAATAGCCCGGGGCCACCTAACGGCCATGGCGGAGTTGAGGGGGTCCGGAATAAGATTGCGCTCACTCGCTATCATTGAGTGGGAGCAGAGGCTGGAGCACCCCAGTGTCGACCTAAGAACCATAGAGGCCATACGTCCGGTATTCAGTCGGTGGCTGGAAAGGCGTCACGGCACCCTCAACTACCGGGCGACATAGGTTCTCTCGGGACATTGCTATTTTGGGAGGTATCTGTGCCGCTTGGCGGGGAGGGAAGCCAACAGCGGTTTGCCACCATTGCGACGTAAGCGTGGCGGGAGCAGCGCCGAGAGCTGAGGGCTATCGTTGGGCAAGATTTCTCGCTATGGTGGACAGCCAGAGGTCGTGGGGTGCCGTCCTTACATCCTGCGAGGGCATTATTACCCGGAAGGAGGCCGCGGAGATAGAAGGGAACGGAACTGTCACCTTGGAAATCCGCCGTCGGAGACCAGAGCGCAGGAGACTAGACTACGGGCGCAATCTTCCCCCTGATAGTAAGCCCGGGGCGGCAGATGTGGGACTAACTGTTGCCCCCTGGAGGGCTTGATTTGTTTCCCCAACACGGCACCATTTGGCTGGACTGGGCTGGACCATGCATCAGTACTGTCATGGTCAAGCAGGCTTATTCGTAAAGCTATTTTAAGTTTGCTAGGCCATGTTTTTACCTTCGAAATATTATATAATTTATCAAAATCCGCAGGTCTGTCTTATATATACGGGTGGTTCTTGGTCTGTCTGGTTGACGACTCGCGAGGGTGCTTGGGGATGGTTGGCGGAATCCTTCACTCAATATTTCAGGATGGCCTTAGTGCACCTCGGGCTGCCAGGGTGGCAGGCTGCATTCTCTAATTTACCATTGATACCTTGGGCAGAGGTTGTATGCAAAATAAATATTGTGATGCTGTTTTTATTGTCAAATTAACTGTTTAACTATAAATTTTCGTTTATTTCAGCAATTATTCCTGCTGCTAGCTCCACATTTATTGGAGAGAACAGAATCGGAAACAAGCTCGATTGCAGTGTGTAATGAAACCGGGTTGAACCACATAGATCCCAACATTTTCAAAATGTCTGCACGTCATCATAAAAATAGTCGCCAAACAAATCAACATATTTCATCCTAAATAGTTTTGTTAAGACCAAGCCAAAATTGCCTAATTTGCTTAAATAAAATTTTTGTGAGCGGACAATAAACGATTTTAATTTGAAAAGAAAAATTTAAAACGGAAAATATAAAAAAAAAGAAAACAATGCTGTCCAAACATATATTGAAATATAATTCATACAATAAACTTTATACAACGAAACAAATGGACGGAATGTGAGATTCTTTACTAAATACAAGCTAAAAATTAAGCAAATAAAAACTATATTGAAAACACACATGTTATATCTAAGCTACTCTGTCTGTGTAATGTAAATCATAAAAATGTTTAAAATACATTTACTTCCATGCATGTTTTGTGACTTATTATAGAAAAAAATAATTAAGAAAAATTACATAATATTCTGTGTGTTCACACATCATCCCATATTTAAAATACAAATATAACATACACACAATTTATTTTCTTTATAATGTAAATACATTAATTTCAGCTCGATTCCTTTGAGTAATATTAAATGTGATATAAATTTCCATTGTAATTAAGATAAATAAAAATACAATGTGACTGCGTTGCTTGTGATGTAGCAATAGATAAGAATATATTTATTTCTTTACTTATAAAAGCCTTTAATGTGACCTTGCAGTACCTGCTTAGCTTGCCAATTAAATGAATAATCATCTAAGCTAGAAGTAACCACGAAACGATCTATATACTAGTAGGCCAAAGTAGCCTTCAAATTACATTTTGTAATTATAATGATAAAAGTTCCTTACATCTAAGAATTCATCTCTTGGTGGGATGTAAAATTTTAACACTTTACTTTCCTAAATATTCTTCAATTAGTTTTTGCTTTTCATTGATTTTACTTGTAGATAATTGCATAATACTTTGAGAAAAGCTTAGAGATGTCATGCAGAACATTATTCTAGTTGGGTCACATTTCAATAAACAGAGCATACTTTGTATTTATGTATGCAGTGGTAACCGTTATCTTTGAGTTGAAATAAATAATATCAATGGAATGGATTAAAATATTGTAGCAGTTAGATTGTGCCTCAATGCTTATTATCATCTAACATGCTTTATATGGCAATATAAAAAAGTTCTGGCTAAACAGTGCTACTTTCATTATTTTATAACCATGGTGTATTTTTGTGTACTTGCGCTTATTACTAAAACACGCTCCTAATAATGTTGTCTTAAATAACATTATTACTAAAAAGAAAAATATGAGTGTCAATATCAATGTTATCTTATGCATTTTTGTTAAGTATGTGTTATTCTAAAAAATTGATACGATATAATTATAAAAGGCCTAATACAATAAATGCGAGTCGTTTTTTTTTAGAATTATATAATAGTTCAAAAGATAATATTTTTAATTTATTACACCAACAGATTTATATCCGTAGGATCAAAATTATAATGGTATATTTGTACAATAATATTTATCTGTAGTTAAAGGTAACAGTGTTCATTATTGCTATTACCCATTGCTCATAACTTCTTTAATAGCATTAATAATTAAAAAAAAATTGCTGTAACACTCATATGTCTAAATGCTTGTGGACTTAATTATTTAATTAAAATATATTTGACTAATCTATATAGCAAAAGCTACAAGGCTGCTTTTTTAAGTTCATACAAATTTAATGGGGAAGACAATAGTTGGGTTTGTTTCCTTATTTTGCACTTGGAAAAAGTACTAATAGTAAAAGTACTAATAAATCCAACTGACTGGCACCCATTGGTGGTCAGTTGACAGCGAATGTAGGGCGTCCATTATTTTTGAATATGTCGTGTCTAAATTATTGTTGATTATTACTAGGTCGATGTACTTCTCGTAGGTTCGCTGCATGCGGGCGCTTTCTTCTAAAGTTTGCTTCATGTCTTCTTCCTGTAGGAATAAATATAAATTTTCATGTATATTATATGTGATACTTGCTTGCTACATGTTTTTATGTTGCTCTTTTGTTCAGCTGGTATGAAATATTAATGCTTGTTGTCCTTACACGCCAAACGTTCAGTTCTGAAAAATTCTACAAGTAGCCCTGATTAAAATACGAAATGTTGGCAAGTTATATATATACTTTATCAAATGACCCATTAATAATATTAATTTTTTTAAGCGATTCAGATGAAAACTCGTTTATATTGGCAGGACTAACTTGTTCTTCTAGGCTTAGTAAGGTCTTTACTGAAAGGGTAAAGTCAGGACAAAGTCAACCGTCTGTGTTGAACTTAAGGGTGCTTTATAAAGTCAAGTAAAATGTAACAGCCTATACATATCTCACGGCTGGGCAAAGGCCTCCTCTATGCAGAGGGTATCAGGTCATAGTCCACCACGCGGCCCCACTGCAGATTGGCGCACTTCACAGATCTTCTAAATATTTTTTTTTAATTATTTCGAAAATATGCAGGTTTCCTCACGATATTTTCCTTCACCGCAGAGCCACATGCTCTGTATGTATAAGTCAGCACTTAGAATCTCTATGTATAAGTTAGCACTTTGAATCAAACATTTCTTTGGTGCAGGTACCAGGGATCGAACTCTAGTTTTTAAAGGAACTAGAGAATATCTGCTCTGTGAGGATTTCCCAAACATGCATTTAAGAACACAAAGTCATATAATTTAATTGATGTGGTACCTTGGTCCCATTTGGAGATCAAACATGGCCAGTGAGTTAAATAATGTGACAGTAGTTTTAGCTAGCCAAACAGGCATAATGTAACTTACTTTGGCGCCATATTTCGTACGTCACAATAGCACATACTGCTGATACTTTTCAAAGTAATTTTGGAAAGTTTATACAGATGCATTCTTGACTCTAAATACCAATGAACTTCACCAAGAGTATTTTGATTTCATAGTCAATAATTTATTAAACCAATAAGGGAAATAATACATACAAAGATTAACCATTCTAGTGCAAGGGCTGGCAGCTATGGAATTTTATTTTGTTTAGATAATTTGATAGCAAATTCTGATTTACCATTATCATCATTACCACTGTTGAATAAAGAACTTCCATACATCCTGAGACCGTTCTAGACGGCCTTTTATTGACGTTAGACCAATTACTTATGCTGTCACAAAGAACTTTGCCATTTTTTTCTACCGGTTGCCCAAGACTTAGAATGTCATCAGTCCACCTAGCCACTTGAGAAGATTTCTTTCTCATTAGTAACTCAAGCAATTTACAGTGCTATCGCACTATATTGAACGGCTTCGGGAATAATTCTAATGAAATATTGTTCCAAAACTCAGTCGGGAGAAACCCACATCTAGGTAATAAACATTATACAATGCGAAAATCGAATCGGTTCATCGAAAATTGAAAAATTACAATAAACTTTGCATTTATCCTTTCGGACTGATTACTTAGAACACATAAATATTACGTAAAACATGTAAATGTAAAAAAGTATGCAATCGTGAATATATACACTTACCTCGTAAAGCGATGCGAGCGATTCCAGAGTACGCGCGCGCCTTGAACTATACCGGATGGAGCTCTGCCGGTCGAACTACACAAGGCATGCATAACACTTAGACGACGTCATGCGTATACATAATTATGTAATGAGGATAAAAAATTATTTTGCCGAGGTGGTATCTATAAGCATTACAATTACTATAATATTTGATTCGATATAAACTATATCTACTTATATTTCAATTTTTAACATAATTTATTCTTTAAGTTCTCACTGTTAGGTTCCTGTTCGAGGCGTAAGTTAGGTTCCGCAGTTGTTCGATGCCCGGCGCACCGATCATCACGACATACGGCAGGAATTCGCTGCTGTTGTGCAGAAGTTTTAGGGATTGGGGCGCGCAGTCCAGGATGCACATTTTACCTGGAAATTATTATAACTTTTTTATTTGAGGAATGAGATGCGGCACTATCCATATTAAAGGTAACTTTTTTCATTTTTTTATTTATTTATTAACAGAGTAAATACAATTGTTTCAAAAAAACATTAAGTTCGACAAACTGAGAATACAGTTTATTAACTGCAAAATTAAATTAAAGCGAAACTGCACTCATTGAGGCATTTTAATACTTCTCAAAAATAAATTTTAAAACAAAAAAGTAAAGTGCACCCGTAACTAATGGTTAAACAATAGTTGAAATTTTAATCTATACCAGAAATAGTATTTACTAGCTGCTGCGCGCGACTACTTTTGCGTAGAATAGGCTGAAGGCGTCACATTCAGACAGAAAGACATAGATATAGATAAAATATGTATATAAATTATAGCCTATGTCTTAATCTGATGTATAAGCTATATTATTGTAAAGTTTCATTAAAATCCATTCAGCAGTGTTTGCGTGAAAGAGTGACAAACATCCATCCTTACATACAAACTTTCGTTTATAATATTAGTAAGGTTTATTTTAGAGATTATCAGTGTATTTACGGTGAGGTCTTTACCACACCGTAAATACACTGCTGTACTACAAGTACCTACTTAAACAAAGTTACGAAGAATTTAATTTGCCTAATTGGTGCCAATAAAAGTATTCTATCTTCAGTGAATTGAGGTTCAAAAAAACTAATCCATAACTGAAAAAAAAAGCTTACCCTCTTTGATAACTGCTCTTATGGAATCAAGATGAGTTCCATATAAATGTCCATTGTGCTCTCCATATTCTAGGAAGCGGCCGGCATGAGCGTCCCTCTCCATTTCTTCACGGGATACGAACCAATAAGAGAGACCATTCTCCTCCAAAGGTCTTGGGGGCCGTGATGTGTCTGAAAAAAATATCGTGTAACTAATGAATTTATTCATCGAGAGGTAGACTGAAAGCGTATTACGAAAAGGAAATATTAGTACATATACTCAATCATTTTACGTATTTAAGTATCATTAGTACATATACAAAATTTTTTGTTTTTATTATTTTAGGACACATTTGTACACAACATTTTCTAGTCCCAAACTAAGCAAAGCTTGTACTATGGGTACTAGAAAATAAATAAAAATACTTAAACATACTTTTCTTTTGTAAATAAATACATATTATACATATAGAAACACCCAGACACTAGAAAAACACCATGTTCATCACACAATATTTTTCCAGTAGTGGGGATTGAACCCACACCCTCTGGCGTCGGAGGCAGGTACACTACCAACTACGCCATTTGGGTCGTTAATCAATCCATGATACTAGTCCTTAACATTTACAGTTTACAGTTCAAATGTGCGAGATGCTTTAGTTTATTAATGTGTCAATTTTGTCATTACGCACTTATAAGCTATATAGTTATGCGGATACTTAGAAAAAATCTGCCAATGAAAAAACAGCAATATGGTGAACAGGAAAGTTGCTTTACTTAAATACGTTTTAAGTTGTGAATTATTTTTATGGCTAAAAGAAGGAAATTAACATCAATATTTGTGATTTAGTAATCACCAAATATTCTGAATATTTGTCCTTAATAGCCTCCCATGGCTTAATCTCAGCCATTAGCCCATCGGAATAAAATCCTGCTTAACTCTATATTTTTATTAAGACAAATTTTAGGCATATAATATGTATCATCAGTAAATACAATTTAAAGCACATCAATACGTGATTTCTCATGGTACAATCTCTAATATCACTTTGGCCACATCAAGGTTTATGATGGAGGCGCACAGTGGACTGAAAATCGCCTTTCTAAGATATAAAGCGATTTTGAAACAAGAGGGTCGTGGCGATATTGCATCTGTTATTGAACATATGCTCAATTACGGATATAAAGGATTTGACGGTGCAACCAACTAAACTTCCACATAGGTATAAACACAAACTTTTACCATACCTTTACCATTATTTTTGCCTACGGAATAAAAAAAAATGTAAACGACTTAGTATAGCCACATTTGAAGCATTTAAGCATAAATTGACGATTTAAAAAAAAAAACCACAAGTGGTGCCGCCATACGAAGTATGTCAAAAATTACGAATAAATAGTACTATATCTGTGTGCAAGGATGTAATGGCGACCCTTGTGATTTTACACGCAATAAACACATAAAATTCAAGTCATTGTGTCGTTGAAAGGTGATTTTCAGCCAGCCAACCGAGTATGCATCCAAAGTTTTTTCAGATGTAGATATTTTGGAGACATATGCATAAGACATGCAATCCTATAATATTATAGGTTGTATGCGGTGACCAGCAATGACCACAGCTCAATTTCCAATATTTTAAATGTTGGTGCGGAACCATATTTTAGCATCTAAGTTATTTCATCTATTTCTCACAAGGGATTGTTAAGACGAAAAGAGTGATTTGTCCTTAGTTACTATTTTTTCTGGCTTGCTTGGGTAAGTACAGTTTGTCTAAGAAAAATAGTAGAGCACAGTATAAAGGGGCTGCTCTTAGAGAGCTTGTCCTAAAATAGATAGCGAAAAAGCAGTCCAACAAGAAGGTTCGAATGTTGTGAAGTAGTCGAGGAAATTGAGAGTGTACTGTGTAAAGCTAAGATCAAAGAGGGGTCCTTCCCCGTACGTAACGGTTCGGGTCGATAGAGGCTTTTTAGGATGTGATTCACTGGGCGAAATATTTGACCTGGACAGGAGTGCTTCATTCGGAAAGCTGAATTTCTGTTGGATTAAGACCATAAGAGTAGTATCTCTTCAGCCTGTTGAGGCTTAACCGCGCAACAAGCGTCCCTAGCCAATTTTTCCTCAATGAAACTAACAGCCACACAAATACTTGTTCTGTGTGGGATTCGACACCCGAGCCTTGGCGCCGAAGCTCATATCTTGGTAACTTGGCCCCAATTATTGATTTGTAGTTCATACAAGGATAACAGTAGAACTAAATACTAGAATCCCATTCCTTAGAGTAAAGAAACTGCGCTTATGCAGTCATTTGCACTGCATGGAAGGAACATACGTGGCACCACCACGCCGAATCTATCCGGGTGCTCCTGTATCATGCGGTTCTTGAGGCTGCGCCGACCGACGCCCTTGGTGCCCACCAACGCCAGGATGCGGCGCAGGAAGGGCGGCGTGCGCGCCACCTCCTCGTAAAGCGCCAGCTCCGCGCCCTCCAGCTGCACGCTTGACCGGGACTCGTATACAAACTTCTTTTTCTTCTTCGATATCTGAAATACCCGAAAATATTTATAACTTTGCCCGGTGACTCCGTGGCACAGTTGCCAGCGTTTTGCCTGCGATGCCGGGTGTCGGGGCGCGTTTACCCCACGAGATTTTCGCTAATGTTTTAGAAAAGAAGACTATAATAGATCTGCTATGTTACAATTTTTAATTATATGGACTAAAATGACATTTTGTGTGTTACCACTTTATCATAATGTAAAAATTGATCCTGAATAATTTAGTTACTTTATTTGTTTTTAGCGGATTTATAATTATTGCCATGACATATTCGAAATATAAACTTTATGTCATGCACTGGACGAAATTTGACTTAATATTATAATAGATATCTAATATCCAAATAAAATTGCACTGTGACTCCAATTGGTAAGCTGCAATTAGGTACAACAAACTCAAATTCGCAAGGAACGTTCTTAAATATGATTGTAAGCAATGAAGGAAGATCAACACGTATGACGTTTGACACAATGTACGGATTGTTTTTTGTATTGTTTTAAAGGTTGCTTTAGGCTGCAGTGGTTGTTGTGACTTACTACCCAACCCCTTTCACACAAATCATTCATCATACCTTTGCCTGCTTCTTTGCATTGGCAATGGAGAATTTTGTCAAAGTCCCAACCCCTTTCACACAAATCATTCATCATACCTTTGCCTGCTTCTTTGCATTGGCAATGGAGAATTTTGTCAAAGTCTAAGCTAAGTCTCAATAACTTATACTATTTATAACTCTACAACAGACAGAGCATTTTTATGTACAAGTAAAGTGAATTACCCTCGCACCACAGATGCTTATTTTGTGTACAAAATCAGCTTCAGGAGGTACATAAGCCTTTCTTCTCTCTTCTAGCTCAGGTGAAGGTATGAGACCTACAACATCTGTATTTTCAACATGACTTGCTTGCCACCAATTAGGATCTTTTCTATCTGAAACCTGAATAGAGACAAAATGGTTAATGGAACATATGAATAGTTTCGGAATTTATTATATTTTAGATTTCATTCATAAACTAAGTAATATATGATAATAAAATAAAAATTATAATTTTGATTTTATATATGAATTAAGATATTTATGTAATATTTAATGTGTATTTTTTATTACTCTAAATGCTTGGTAGCTATTGATAATCCTATGTTTAAAAATAAAACTAAAATCACTAAAAGATTACCTGTAAAATATCTCCCTTCTTGAATGGCAATCCAATTTCCTTACAAGGAAGAAGGGTATCTTCTTTTGGATCATAATCAAAGAGAGCTCTCATATAGCACTGAAATAAGAATAGACAGATATATTGTTAGTCATAGGAAATACTTTTTTAGTGATGTACACATAATTTTATTACGGACCTACAATTACTGTTGTTAATAATTTAACAAAAAACATTATTACTGTAGTTAATAGCAGCGGTAAGTGGCATCAATTAATTTTTTTATGGTAATTTTAAGTGCTGAATTATCACATGCTCAGAGGAAGGAAAACATTGTGAGGAACCTAGCAAATTTTTATAAATAAGAAAAACAAGTATATTTTAAACATTTGTGAATTCTGCCAATCCATAAGTGTACAGAGGAGGCCTTGGCCCAGCAGTGGGATATATACAGGCTGTTACTTTATTGTTGCTACACAAAGAAATCTCAATTAAATTAATCTATGTACAGAGTAAAGAATTTGTTTTAGCAGTTTATTTGTTTGTTTGTATTGATTTACTCCAAAAAAATCCTAATAAAATCATGTTATATTTATGGATTAAAGAATTTGTGTCCGTGTTGTTTTCCCATTTATGTTTGTAATTAAAAATAACATACACTAAGTTTGTTGGTAAGCTGTGTACTTTTTTCTTTTAAATTTGGTCCAACTTTCAGGGTAACTCTGTCATTGGGTTTTGAGACAGCCGCCTTAAGTTGATCTTCAGAATCAATCTGCACTCCATCAACCTCTAAGAGAACATCACCAACTGATACCAGAGCTTGCTTTGCTGCTGCACTTCCAGCTAATATCCGAGCAACAATAAGCTGCCCATGCTCATCTGTAGTAATCTGTAGATAACAAAACATTTATTTTGATTTGCAGATATTGAATTTTAACAGGATCAGTAAATGTAAGAATTAAATAACATTGAGTGACATTTTTATCATTAAATCAATAAATGGTGAAATAAGTATATTTAATCTATTTAGCATAAAAAATGCTATTTTTGTATTTCTACACACATAAATATTTGATTAAACATGAATTGTAAAAGGCCCAGCATGTTTTATATGATTTACTATTCTGGAATGATGATGAAACAATTACTACTGTCTTACAAATTACTCATCAATTGCTTAATTGTCTCATTCAATTGAGACAATTGAAAAGTGAGAATAGGTTTCTACAATAAACTAGTACTGTAATTTAAATTTAGGTCATTGTCATCTTTGTTTTTAAGAATATGATCAAATTAAATTTAGCTTGAGCTAAATTAAATAGCTATTTTTATAACTTGAAAATTGTATTCATTTTTTTTAGTAATCCAAAGAAAATTGCAATGCAAATAAAATGGAGATTTTGTTTCTATAACAAAATATGTAATTTTAAATTTTCTGGAAATTTTATTATTTACACAAATATTTTTATTATTACTACTACTTACAGTTAATCCCAAAGGTTGCCCTGGTATTTTTCTGAGTCCAACTACTTTAATGGTCTCTACAGGCATGTCTCCGTTTAGATCGAGATCGAGAGTTTTTCCAGAACTCTTTGCTAAGTCCTCACTGCCTTCCTTTGGATCAGCTTTTACATCTACACCAGAGCCTCTCTCCAGCCAAATTGCTCCAATTTGATCATGGGCATCTATAAGGGCCTAAGGACAATATTTTTATTTGCTTTTCTTTATCCTGTGCCATGGATGTTATAAGATTAAGTTGCTATAAGATCATTTTGATAAGTTGAATATAATTGTAATGGATACTGGTTTGACGTCTTAAATTGATAATCTGTAGGTCGACGCGTTTTCTTTTTCAGTCTTTGACACTTTACTTGGGTCTTGTCAGACGTCTCTGGTAAAAATTGAATACTGTGCCATCAGATGTGCCATCAGATAGCCTTAACATCTGGTATAATAAGTCGAACAATTTGTGAATATACCACTTATATACTGCAAGTTATTTTATTGACCAACAGTCACCTATTTAATAGACAAGATGAAGGGGCCATGGGTGTTTTATCGACATATCCGACCCCAAACTATGAATATATATAAATGTTAAACACATACCTTAAAGTGAACTCGGGATAGTAATATAGCAAGTTCTGCTTGTTCAATAGTTCGAATATTATTGCCTCGATACTCGCTCAACGACCGTATTATGTTTACGTTATCCAAGGAGACGGGTTTTATGACCAAATCCTCCTCTGAATCCACGGACTGCAATTTCAATATTTGTGATCATAGCGTGGCATTTTATCTAAAGTTAAAACTTAAGGATTCACAAATAACAAAAACCCGTTTTAGGCGTGGCACTTGTTATTATGAGTTTTTGAGTTAAAAATGAATGAATGTCATTAAATTATAGCATATAAACGGATGTATTTTTGAAAAAAAAAAATCACACTTACAAAAAAGGTGTTACAAATATGATTTTGAATATGTTTTTTGTCTAAAATATGTTGATATGTTAAAAATGAATGAACACACCCATACTATCATAGCTTCTCAATTTCACGTTAACGGTTTCTGTATTAGTCATAAGGTAATATGTACGCTAATTGTGTTAATAAATTTTAAATGTTACTACAACGGCATAAGGACGTAATTGTATTTAATATAAATTTAGTAAGCTGTTCGCACAACGGAACAAAGATGGACAAAAATGTCAATATCTGTCAGTCAACTTCCCTTCCAATTTCCAAACAAAGTACAGATCTAACAAACCAATAGTACACCATAGATAATAAACGCAGGTTAGAGCTTTTAGAAAAATAGCTATTAAAATAAATTACTGCGTTTTTTTATTAAAAGATACAGTCCTATTGTATATACAAACATGCTAGAAAATAATTTTTAAAATAGTTTCCTTTGTTACGTCCTGGATTGGTACTCGGCAAAAATACTTTCGTGTTGATGATCTCAATCATAGCCGTTCGAGTCAAAGGACTTCAATTTTATTTATAAACACGGAGAATATTTTCTTAAAATAAAGCATATCTGCTTTTAGGAATGCATACATTTAATATAATGTTAGTCTAAGAATATACCTATTCTTTTTCCTATTCTTTTTTTTAAATGTAATTAGAATACCGTATCCAGAATTGAAATTTATAATGTACAAACGTACTTACATATTTTCTTCCAAAATCTGGGCTTTCCATAATGCTTTTTAGAAATATGACATCGTGGTTCGATAGATCTTCTTCGGGTTTTCCTTCTTGTTTTTCTGCAATTAAAAATAAAGTATGTTGTTAGTGCTAGAATAACTAAAAAAAAAGGTAAATTATTATACAGCGTGTCTTTACAATCGCGACAATAAATGAACACACATATAGAGGATAACTTTTTAAAATTGTACTAAACATTTACATTCTATAAATATCAATATTAACAGTTATTAAATTTTCCAAAACAAAGAATTTTAGAACACGTATAAAACTGTTACGTAAAGTTTCTTTGTAAAGGTCACAAAGCATATGAACGGGTTGAATGAATTTAAAAGAGACAAAACATACTGTTGGCAACGAATGAAAAAGTCTCTGAAAGTCTGAATGTTTGAATCAGTCGTAGTTGTATAGGATGTTAGAAATTTTGTTTTTTTTTACTTAATTAGTTTGTTTGAAAACATTTATTTTATATAATGGATTTTTTAACGTTAAAATTTTTTTATGATTATTGGCAAGTAGCGTTAGACGTGTGTTCCTTTATTGTCGCGATGGTAACGACACACTGTATACTGAAAATATTAGCCTTAAGTTTTAAAAGTTCTAATTATGAAATGTAGAGATAAGGTTTGTCCTTATCTCTGCGCACACGTGTTTTAAGTGTTAAATTATCCTCAAAAATGTAAACACTGAGGGATCATTAAATCTCTAGAATGGTGCTATCAGATCCAGAATGGTGGAGAAAAACCTGAAGTTCACGGTAGTACATTCAAATTATACCCAAGATGTAATTCAAAAATTTGTAAATAATACTGTTGCAAAATTTTTCGTTGCAGTTAGGGTATACAATTTTATTAATCTTGTGTTTATTAATCGTGCAAAGATTTGTACTAAAAGTTAAAAATTAAATATACCTTAAGACATTAGTAGTATATGAATAAACACTTTTTATTAGAATCAGAAAATAACCGCTACGTAACTGTCAATGTTAAAATAAAAATGCATCGTAAAAATGCCAATCTAAATAACTTCCAGCTTTCTTTGAATATGTGTATATTAACGCCATCATACTTTAAGTATTCTAATTTATGTACACTTTCTATGCATTGTAACACTACTCCTTATCTCTACACCCCGTAGCAATCATATAATAATAATTACGGTTTCATATTCATACTTGAAAATTAGGTCAAGTTTGTTCATTGTCAAGTGAACGTAGCTGTGACCCTGGCCTGGGTTCACTTTTTAAAAGATGAATACTCATCTGCAATTTCAGTGTGACATCCATAAAGATGTCAACGAGTTGCGGTCATCACTTAACACTTAAAAAAAACTTTTTTTTTAGCCGTTACTTGGTCTCCACATGTTGAAGCAAAGAGGAATCCATGCAAGTGGATACTTCGAATGGAGTCATTCGAATGCACAATTCAAAATGCACACGGGAGGATAAAAGTCACAAACAAGGGAATATATGTAAGCATGTTCGACAAGTAAAAAAAAATAAAAATGAAAAAAAAAAAAAAAAGAATAGCCTGTGTAATGTCCTGTATATAATATGATGTAGTATAGAGTATGGTCGATCAGAGTCAAGAATGTGGCAGATTTGAAAGACTTACTTAATTTCCTTTTGAATGGTTACTCTAGACTAAAAGAAAATTCTGGCTATAATGGTCTGCAAAAGGAGCGCATTTGACAGCAGTTCAGTTTAACTCAAAGTGGAAGGAAGAAGAAGGAATTGAAGTGAAAAGTCTTAGTGAAAATGAGAAGAGGTGAAGAAGTGTAACTTTAAGCCGTCGCACCTGTAAAAGTGTTAGTAGAGGTTTCATCCAACAAGAAGAGGACCATCGCACTTTTAGAAAAATAAGTGGAGGACTTGTGCAGCAACAAGAAGGCCGTCGTTCACATTTAGTATGTAAATAAAATGAAAGTTATAACGTCACAAATGGCATTGAAGATTACCAGTCATGCCGAGGGAACAAAAAGAAGATATCACCAGGCTGTGGTTTTACAGCAGCAATTAGAAGCAAGTACGATTTCAACTGTTGAACTAAATGTGGAATCTGTGAGATGCGCAATTTTAATCGGGCCCTTAAAGTAATAAAAGCTTTTGGAAAAGATGTTACCTATTCAAACGGACAGTCCACTGCAAAATGTGTTCAGTGCTTAATTTAAACACCATGCTCATTTTAACTCTGAAACTCTGCAATTTGACAAAATGTTATGTAAATCTCACCAATCTCAAATTTGAATACTACATTTTGTGGACGGATTTTGAGATTCCGAGATACCTGTGATACCTCGCTCATGGTTTAGTGGTGGAAGTATTTCGCCAAGATCCTCCTAAGTTCGTAAAATCTATCGATCGCCTTGCCAACTGCCTTGAATACTGGAGGGCTACAGAGAGTAGTAGCAGTAAACTATTACAACTTGGTTATCAACGTTTTTATTTGTTTATATCCAAGTTGCAATTTTTCTGTTGCCATTTTCAAATATTTGCTACTTCCGGCCAGCGCATACTGGTATAAGTTGTAGAAAGGGGCATAAATCAGAGATAACATACACAAATCATAAATAGAAAGATGGATGAACTAGATATTTTACTGGCCTCAAGTAGTAGTAGCTGACATCGTTGTCATTTGTATTAACGGATTGGATTTTCTTGTTACATATCACTTTGCAATAAATTTGTTAGATGGAGTGGCATGATGTGGTAGTAAAGAAATCCTGAGAAAATATAATACCATGGGGAATTCTTTGTCAGGAATCAATCCAGCTACTTTATAGGTTGCAATCCTTACTACCCGTAACTTTGCAAGTTAACCGAAGGAGCGTTATGTGCTTAGGTAGAAAGGATCAACGCCAATCTACTATGGTTCAGTAAACTATGGACGGTCCATTGACTAGAGTTAAAAGTAAGTGTTCTGAAAGTCTTGGAGGATGGTAAAGAAAGGTAGAAATTAATTATTGCGTTACGCTGATATATTACGAAACTAAAGATGGAAAAATAATGGCAAAATCATTTACTTAAACATAAAATTAATACTGACAGAAACGAACCGATTTTACAACACGTTTGACGGATTTCATTTGTACGCGCGAGAGAAGCTGAGGAAAATGGAAATATTATCAGATATAAGGGAAACAACATTATTGAACTCCCTACGAGCTCGTGGTGTACTCTTGTGGTTTAAGTTAAGAACAATTTCGACTTATGCAATATGCAATATGGAAACGGATAAAAACGATAAAGGAAAGACAGGTCTTAAGATTGCAAATAAAGCTGCCCTTTATGCATTTCTTTTGGTTTAAGTAATGCGCGATAACTTTTAGAGATTAATGGAAAAGGCAATAATAGTTTTCGTAGGACAAATTTGTCTTATTTATTTTAAAATTTTAATAGCCGGACATAATTAATTAATTATTTGGGACATGTGATTTCTGGGAAAGGCGTGCAGACAGAATTCCGATTAAAACAGAAGCTGTTTGTATTGGAGAAATTAATTGGAATTAAAAACCTGTCTTCAAACCTTCTATATAGTCGAGAAACCATAGATTGTTTAAATTTAAATATCTAGCAATCGGTCTTCTGGAAAGTCATCTAATCGTTCCATATTTGAATTCGTTTTTTTGTAAAGATTTGAAATTGACAACATACTTTTTTTCCAACATGACATTTTTTGAAGCCAGTACTTGAGTATAATGATATCCTTGTATAGCAAACATTTATGAATGAAAAGAAGAAAAGCACAATAATTAGGTTAAATAATGTGGTTCCCTAACATGACAGCTTTCTATATTTGACAAAATTTTTGCCTTTGACAATTAATTATATTTTTTTACGGGGTATTTTGTAACACGTTGTATAATTTATATGTTCCATACCTACTCATTATACCGCCATAATAAATAAAATTTAGATTTACGCGAAAACTTGTAAGTACCAAAATTTACCTTAATTATCAACTTTGTTTATGTTTCGGATTTTTCCTTTATTTGTCCTGTAAGACCTTGGATTTTGTCAAACTTCGTGCAAAAAAAAGCAAGCATAAGTAAAGGGAAAATTCCGAAAAATAAAAACAGTTGAAGAAAATTAAGGTAAATTTTGGTACTTACAAGTTTTCGCGAAAACCTAAATAAGCTCATATCTTTTTATCGTGTTGACTCAGAAACTTGAATTTTTATACACCTAATATAGACCGCAGTATCTGGCATAAATATCAACTTTTTAATCCACGATCACGATAGGTGAGTCATCTTATAAGGGATCCTTTTTTACCTTTTACGATACGGAATACTAATTACAGTATTTATTTGATCAGTAAATCATACCTACACCAAACAAATGGAACTCAAGACGTCTTGCACTAAATAGTATGTTTGTTTGTTCTTTCTTATATTCTTGGGTTTCAGATTTGCTATGGATTCCGTAGCAAATTGCTTGAGGGACATTATACAGCGGACACTCTATTCCTCTGTAATTTAAATAGTGTATTAATTATGTAATGTTGGTTAAAATAAAGTATTAGAGTAAAACTTATTAATTAACTAAATATAATTGCAAAAAGATTCGAATCTTTTTGCAATTATATTCAAATTAAATTTTATTACTTTGTAAAAGGGGTACGTTCGAGTCTGAGGAAGCGGGGTTGAGGGTCGGAGGAGGAAAAGTCAAGTCTAAAATAGCCTAAACAGAATTTTGTCTCCGGTATTCAACCGGAATGTCTGATATGAATTGGCGGATATCCGTTTTATTTTATAACCATTCAATGCCAATAGCTGTTTGTTGGTGCTGAATATGTTAAAGTATTTTAAATTCGCCCTCAATCTAAACAGCTGTACTTCTCTTGAAGTACAGCTGTTCAGATTGAGTGAGTGACGTTACAGAAGTGTAATAGATGTCTTATCTATTACAGTTCTGTAACGTTTTAAGTGAACTTCATTAACTTTAAAATAGCCTTTAGTTGAAAAATCATGTTTTAAATTTCACTTTCATAATAAGCTAAACAGAATAATTTTGTTGAATAATGAGTTAAAATGATTATAACATTTTGAAATACGTGTTAGGTGCACATTCTGAAAATAGCTAAAATGTTTTTAAATCATAAGATTGGTTTAGTATGTTCGAGTATTTTATTGAGCAGCACAACGCGAGAAATAGTTATACTACACACTAAATCTTATTAAATAGATAAAATTTTCCAAGCGACCACGATTTTAAGAGAAAATAAGAATGAAAATATGGTTTCTGTGTAATAGAAAATTATATTCGTTTAATTTTTGTATCGATAGTTAAAGTAACTAGTATTGCTCGAGATAGTGATATTTATAATTATGCGATTTATATTTGAATTTATATATTGCTAGACAGTGTATTAATATACAATATTACACGATAAGGTTACACGAATATGTAAAATAACTAGTACGTTTACGCTTCTTACGTATCAATAGGGGACAGGAAACAAAATCTTATACCCTATTATACTTATTTGTTACGAATAGATACGAGTACATTAGGGTTAGTAATACTTTTTACGTTAGTTACAAAAATATGTAGTTTGAAATATTGTCATTAAATATATTAATAGTACAAATAAGTAGCATAATTTGTACCATTAAATGTTTCCAACCAAAATTACGGAGGGTTTTTTTAAAATAAATAAGTTATTCTCAAAATAAGTTTAGCAGATGTAACAATACATTGCCCTTTTTTATTAATTATTTGCTCTTTTAGTATAAATAGCTGTTAATAGATTTGACATACACATGAATTAATTGATTCAATTTTTCAGATTCAACAGATTGCGTAACTACAATGAAAGGGTACGGATCCATAACGACCAAGTATTCTATGAACCTTCATGGAATACTTGGCTCGTCTGCCGCTTGTAAAATGTAACATTTAATAGACGATTGCCTTACGTGAAGTTTAAATACAGAAAATATATCTAGTGAAGACGATGTCTATATTTGTTAAATAATGTGTGTGTCGAATAATTCTTAACTGATTCTAAAATAAGTAAATCAATAGATAACTTAGTAATAGATACTTAATAACAGAAAAATATATCTTTGATTTAGAATGATCGATTAGCTTTCTTATTTTAAATTATAAGTAAGTGTAAGTATATAAAGAAAAACTCATATCTTCTGAAGTCATAACTAAACTGCAAAATTATGGATTCATGTAAAGATCTGAAGTTTTCACTCACGCAATATCCTGCACTAATAAACATTACGCTACTGCGACATAACGAAAATTGAATATTGGGTCAAACACGTTGAAAGGCGAACATTGTAATGTTTACCGGTGTTTGGGCGATTTGAGGTTATAATCAATGCGACTCGATATCAGCGATGCACTTACCGTCGTCGGGTGGTTTGTTCCCGAAAGAAAAGTCGCGGAAACCGCGGAAGCTGACCGTGTAGCGGCCGTTCCTTCGGACCATCATTGGCGTGGACTTTTAACACAACACTGAGCCTGTGATGGTCTTACAGCCGTTGGTTATCGCGTGGCATCACGGGCGGAACGCGAATCGTGTGGTGAACTATGGCTGCGTGGCGACGCGTCACGCGGCGCGCCGTCAGCTGAGCGCGCGTCGCGTCATGCCGCCGCCGCCCGCCCACCGCGCTTGCGCACAACGCTCCGCCGATTCACATTGAGCGTCAGATTTAGTGATGGGCACGCTGCACGTTTCGAGAAACCTTTAATATCAATACCGTAGCTCTCATAAATAATGCTTTCCCGCATGTAAAACGTAAGGCATGTGGAAAATGATAATGATTTCTGAAAGGCCAGTAACTAATCTACAATTAATGGTGTTGATGGTTTACTTGATGTTGATAGTTCCATGTGTTTCACATCTAGTTTGGGTTCTATTAGATTTTAATTAAAAGTATGAAGTTATTATTTTCATGTGCTCTTTGATAATTTTTATCTTACGAAACCCATGCCACTATTCGAACTTAACAATTTGTTAGTATTTAGGCCGGTTCTTAGTGAACTAATGTGCAGTCTTCATGAGCTTAGCTCGTTTTAAAGAATAGCAGAAGTGAAAACTGTAAAAATATTATAACTTAGGTATATTTAAATCATTGAATTGAACAAAAAAATTTTGTTCTTATGTATTCGCGATATAGAAGTATATTCCTTAGTATATTCATTTACGTGGAATTGATTTTGACGATAATGCTCTCGGTTAACATTTTCAACTGCTCCTTGTTTGAGATATTATAATTAAGATAAAATACAAGAACAATTATTAGTTGAGTACGTCCGTTCATGGAACGTCGTGTAGGTATGGAATTAATTCTGTATTTACGTAGAAGTTTCCAACGTGTAGAAGTTTTTCGTGTGATCGTTAATTTGTTGATCTTAGCAACTCTTGAAACATTTTATTAAAAAGTAGAAGTGTACTTATGTACGCACGTAAGATTTACTTCTTTAGCGTACAATAGGAAAATAACCATGTCAACTATGATCGCTATGAAATCAATTTCATCATGTTGGTTTTTGGATGTCTGGATAAGCGTACTAGACACTAAATATTTTACTGAATTATATTGGTTATAATATTAAGTTAAATCGTAAATCTTCACGTTTTTGCTGTTTATTTAGTCTTATTCATTTTCAACACGGCAAGCGTTACGACAAATCGGATTGTCGGAAGTAATTCATTTTTTCTGCTGACCACTGAGAAAAAATAGAACAGAAAAACGAAAACATCACCACCAAATTAGCTTGAAAGGTAACAGTTATATGTCTTTCTTTCTTTCTTTAATAAATGGCTTCTCTGAAAATAACAGGTATATGTATACTCGTACTATGCCACATGCGGTGTATTATTTAATATCATAATTGTCAAATTAACACCGTTTTAAAATCATATTGTGTATGGCTTTAAACCACTTCAACCAAATTTAATTGGAATGTAAAGCAACATTATTCAGTTTCTATAACATATAAAAAGTAAAATAAAAATATTTATTCTAATGAAATGAAATTTATAAAAATGATTTAAAAAACGTATGCATGGAATAAGGACATGTAACCATAGCGATAAAGCAGTCGCATAGAGTGGTTTCAAAAATAGTGTGGTGGATTGATATAAATTATATCGTAATCCTTCGTGAGTTGTTCCTCGTAGCTCGAGACGCGCATGATTTATTGCACACAATTAACATTGTTTATCAAAAGTTAAACACACAATACAAAAGTATATCACTACAAAAATTAAATCATCGATTGTGTTATACCGAGTATAGGTCGTATGTTTTAAAAATCAATGGTCGATATCGATACACTCAAATTGCAATCTCCCCGCATTGCCGCCCGCCTCGACGCCGCCGTGCCGCACCGCCCGATGCTGTTACGTTATTTTGCACCAAAGCCCGTTGGATCTTTTGTCTTCTCATTTGCTTTATCTACATTTGTGCGAATGGTGCGGGTGTCAGTGTGACGAAAGAGTCCGAAAATCGATTTCCTTACGACACATCTGGGTTTAAAGTACATTGTTAACCCGTACTGAACATGGTTTCTAGAGAATAAAGCAGATAGAATAAAGCAAATATTCAGTAGTGGACACGCAATTACATTAGACGATTTTAGGAAAAATAAAATTTATTATCTCTCAAATCTAAATTATGTCACTAGGTAACCATTTTTAAATGGGAACGGATAGTAGGTGAATGATTTAAAGAAATAAAAATTTTTTGGAGTAGGTACATAAAGCAAATTAATTATGTTCTTTGTAGTAGTTTGTTGTTTAACGGTTTACCATTAACCGCATATATTTTAACTAGCGTGCACTACGTTATTTGAAGAACTTAATCTCGCGGTCGTAAATAATATTTTAAAACAAGAAAGTAGCTGGTCTGCGAGAGCAAACTATAACCATGACACAGTTATTGGTCATAAAATTCCCGTGGCTTCCTATTCTATGTGCCCACTTTAAACATCTTATTCTTGGCCTATATAATATATGGTCTATATTTAGAACGTTACTGCTGGTCTTAAAGTATTGGATCTTACTGAACTATATGAAATAAATCCAAAGGCGAATCTGAGTAGTGTTAAATTAAATTCTAAGACGATAAAATAAACATTCACAAGGGAGCTGCGAAGAATTAGACTACTACGATAAAAAATTAAGTACAAACAAATTTGGCAAAGGTACATCTGTCGATATTTCATGTCCATAGTGATAAACTGCGACCTTGTTTGTCTCCTCGTTTTGATCAATCAGGTCAGAGGTGACACACGTCACGGTTAAGTAGTAGATAGTACGAGCTGAAAAAATATTTGCAATTTTTCAAATTACAAACTTATAGCAAAAATAGCAGACAGAAAATTCAATTTTCAGTTGTCATTAAATGTGCATTATTTCATTATTTATTAATTTATTCATAGTATTCATATTCATTAGGTTAAAATTGCATAGAAATTTACTGAGACTAAAAGTTCAATAAATTACTTATACATCAATAACTAATCTGTATCTATAATTGTAAAACATTAACAGCACATTATACAGTAATTATGTCGCATTATGCTCTCAGATCATTAGATACACATATAATATTTAATTCCGTGTTTCTGTTTTGAACTCTAATTCCAACAAAACCTTGATTAAAATCAGTAGTGCCACAGCCTTAACCTACAGTAGCGCTTTCATCAGTTTGTAATTGTTCTTGTTTTTGCAATCAGCACAAACATCCCTCAATTATCTTAATTGCATTACTACTACACTTTAGAATATTGCGTTGATTATAATTTATCACACTAACAGTTTGGATACAATATGATTGGGCTTTTGCTTGGATAAGCCTGCTAACGCAAATATTTCAAAAACAACGACTTTATATGCAGTATCAAAATGGGTAGTATCAACTTATAACGGATATCACGTTTATAAATAAATTTTAATCAAGACTCAAAACCAAAATAAAAAAGTTTCATTAAAGATTTTGAGGCAATTATTCTTTTTGACTTTTGCCTCGTTTAAAAACTATACGATGCAGTACCACCTCGAATAGGCATTTGAGATATGTCTAAATTGAAGAAAATTAATTGTTCTAAATTGTGTATTAACTAATGTTTTTGCTTTCAGTCCCGAGACTATTAAAGCTTCATCTGACGCAGACTTCATCTGACGCAGAGTTCTAAATTGTTTGCACATTGAACGAGTAACAATGATGTATGACAATGTTAATTAAGTGGCAGTAGTGACGTGTTCCTCAACTGACAAGCAATTACAATAGATATCAAGTACGACATGAGTTACATCAATACACGACGCTATTTCGCGATTTTGGTTGCTCAACGAACTAAAGTGTCTTTATTCCATGCAAAGGCATTAAACAGGTCCATAAAGAACTGTTTTACTAATTATCCTTACACCTTTTGTTACTTAATGGATGTGCAGTAAATAAATAAATAAATAAATCGATTTTATAAATGTCATTTTAGAAAAAATTGTTTCTATTTTTTGTAGAAAATTTCATGATTTATAGAAAATATTAATAAGTACTTACACATCATGACGTCTAAATAATCATGTTTTCCATCAGACTAAATTTATTTTAGTCTACCTAGACCTACGTCTAGGACTCTAGTCCGTCACGTCAACGTAGGATATAAGGTAAAATAAATGTACTTTAACTAACATTTTTGCTTTTAATCGGTAGACTATTAAAGTTTCAGGAGTACTCTCGTTGTCAACCATAGCGCAAACCACGGCAGGCAGCGAGAGGTCGTGCCACACGATAGCATACAGCTCTTGCTCCGTCCACGCTGGACACTCCTCCAGCGATAAGAACGGACCTGGCGGTTCAACCAACACTGGGACGAGCACGCGGGTGTACGTCGTGTACGCGTTGTGTCGGTTTCGCCGAGCTCGTGAACTAATTGGTGTTGCGTGTTTAGGTTTCAATACGTGTCAGTGTAAATTTGTCACGCGGGACCCTTGGTGCGTCCGACGTACTTACTTCTTCCTCCCCAATGTCCAGGTCCATGAGGACGTTACTCGACCGATGTTTGTAATCGGTCGTACTTATATCGGGTTGGTAATTAATTGCGTTTACTATCATAAGGTTGGAATAGTTTTCGCCTCTTTTATTGAATCGTTTGGTTAACTTCTTAAAGTGTTCGCGTAGCGTTGGAAGTCTGCAATCAATACCAAAACAGTGACATAAAAACTTCTGTTATGAGGTAACATGGCGTCTAAGCATATAAGTACGGAATATCTTGTATCTTGTATTAACTGATGTTTGTGCTTTCAGTCCCGAGACTATTAAAGCTTCATCTGACGGAGAACCGGTGGGCTAGCCAGAACCCACGGGTTTGGGCCCTCCGCTGTGGGTAGGGCCACGCATGTGCTCATGCGTGCGTTTAAGTACGGTGTGTCATCTAAGGGCCATCGAGGTCGCGGTTCGAACCGGAACCCCGATGGCCGTCGACTGTGGAATTAGCTAATCGGTGGCTGGGAGCGGTGAGAACCGCTCCAGAACGCGGGTGTACCTTGTGTACGCGTTGTGTTGGTCTCGCCGTACCGAATGTGCGACATAATTGTTCCTTTTATCCGCTCAGTTTTCCCTTGGTGATTAATTAAAAAGGGGATTAAGTAAACATTTATATTAAATGAAACTATTTATATGAAATGAAAGGATTTTTCTTTTTATGCGAAAAGTTGTCAAACGAGCAGACGGTTCACCTGATGTTAAGTGAATACCGCCGCCCATGGACATCTGCCAAATTCGAGGGTTACAGATGCGTTGACAAACTTTTGAAAATTGGGCTCGCGTTTTTATTAGCCGGGGTGAACTATGGACATATTCTGTCTGAGTCTGTCCCGTGACCATGAACGCTGGAAAGGGTTCGAAACGTCGGGAGTTCAAATTAAAATAAAAACGCGATAAAATCGGTATACTAGTTTCATTTAATATGTATAATATTCGCGTAAAATCAAGAAAACAATAAGTAATCATTTAGTTAATATACATAAAGTTAACTACTAGCCGGTCCCGATTTGGATCGGTGCATTTGCTTTAACATGCCTTATTAACAAGGACTACTAGGTAATTGGAAACGACTGTCAGAAGCGTTTGTGTTTCTGATTTTACTCATTTAATATAGTTAAAATGAATCTTTTGCCATTGTTGTTATACTTAGAAATTGCATAAACAAGGAGCAAGTTTTGTAGTCTACAAAATAGTTCTATGTAAATGAATTTGTTATAAATATTTTTATTTATTTAATCGAGGTTGTGCATATTATTTCAAGAGTATCAAGGGATATTATCAAGGGAATATCAATAATTAATGTATCAGAATATGATTTTTTTTAAATGAAATATGATTGGCATTAAGGCATAGGACCAATAACGTTTCGCTCCTTCTTATATCAGAATTTAAATTTAAAAAAAGGACCGTAGCTGTCTATACCTAGTGCATTTTCAGTGAAGATATAATAATATATTACCTTAAAAATAAAGTACTGTTTTTTTTTAATTTGAGAAGGTGGCAAACGAATTGGCGGGATGGCGGTTCCTCTGATGTTAAATGATAACCGCCCATGGACATTTGCCACCACTTCACGCCGGTTTTCCGTGAGGTTGTGGTACTCCTCCGGATGGACCTGCCCATTCGTGCAACAGCGAATACTTTTGAGTGGCTCTACCACATACATATAATAGGTTAAAATGTAATATAATGTAACCGAGTCAATAAATTTATTTTAAAAACAAACATTGTCAACTTATAAATTAGAATTTTTGTAAGCCACTACGTGTTACTATGACTGTGTTAGAGAGCGCGGCAGCTTCTGATGACACAAATGAGCAGGCTTATCAGGGAAAAAACAACAGACTCACCGAAGAGTTGTAGGAAGTGGAGTACACGGGAGTCACATTTTTGAAGGCTGATAAAGCATCTAAGTAACGCCTCAGATTTTTAATAATGTAGGTGGTAATCTGTTGTACGAGTTATTATGATCCAGTTACTGCCCATTTCCACGTCACGAAAAGCACTTTTTGCAAAACTACCAGGGATATTACTACGAGTAACACCCGTGAAACGAATATTCATCGCCTATTTGGTTTAAAACGTTTACCGCCTTTCACCCGCGAAATTATATATAATTAATATATTTCTGGTAATGTTTGCGAGTTTACCTTCTTTAAATATAGTATATAAGCTACGTCACTATAAATAGAAAATATAGACGTGATATTATTCAGTTCCCATTAGGCGCGTGCTCGTCAGTGATAACAGAGGTCACGGGTGATAGTTATATAGCAGGGGCTGGCCGAGTTTTATCACACTCTCCGCAGCCTGAGCTTGATGAGGCGACGCTGCTTTTTTAAAATAAAGTAAAAGTTTAAAATCGATAAAATGCCGTGGACTAGCATGAACAGGTATAGAACGTTTGAACATTTTGAAAGCTCCTACTCTTTACATAACTGAGAGATAACTGACCTAACATTCTAACGTTTCGTTCTAGAATTTACGCGAAACCATCCAACACAAGCGGGGCTGACGTTGCATCGAGTGCAGCTGCCGTCGGCGTTCGCTCAGCATCCACAGCCACGGCGGACACCGGCGGCCGTTTCGAGCTCAGCGACCACGGCTACGGCAAAAGCTGCGTAAAGCTACTACACGTTTACCGCGATGGGGACTATCACGCCATCCGCGAATACGACGTGTCCACGGACTTGAAGCTCACCAGCGAATCACCGTATGTCGTTGGGGACAATAAAGACGTGGTCGCCACCGACTCTCAGAAGAATACCGTTTACTTGCTAGCCAAAAAGCACGGCATCAAAACCCCTGAAGAATTCGGCGCTGTCGTAGTGAACCATTTCCTATACACTTATAAGCAGGTCAGCGAGGCCAAGTGCCGTGTGGTGGAATATCCTTGGGAAAGGCTGCAAGCCGGAGCCCCCCACAACCACGCATTTGTTTTCTCGCCAACAGCTACAAGATGGTGCGAAGTATCTCAAGTTAGACATGGTAAGTTGTAGACACACCAATAATTTTTAGCAAATCAGCATTCAATCTTTGATGAATATTGCTTTTTTTTACAAAAATGATTATTTTGTCTACAGATGCAGTTATAGTGAAATCCGGGTTGAGTGGTTTACGAGTTCTGAAGACGACCCAGTCAGCTTTCGTCGACTTCGTTCAAGACGAATATACTACGCTTGCGGACGCTGCTGAACGGATTTTCAGGTTATAATTAGGTTTTTATGACTATAATTTTGTGAAATAACTAATGTATTCATACAGAAATGGATATGATAATGTGCCGTTTCTTTTCAGCACCGTGGTAGAAGCCGAGTGGACGTATGAAAGCATGCGAACCGCGGACTTTGACAACGCTTGGCTGACGGTCAAAGACGCGATTCTGGACAAATTCGCGGGACCCCCAGACACCGGCGTCTACTCGCCATCAGTTCAGCATACATTGTACCAAGCTGAGAAAACGGTTCTAGAAAAGGTTTCAGAGGTGAGTTATGTATAATTGTTATGTATAATTTTTCGGGTAAATAAGATTACTGTAATTGAATATTACACAATGTAGTAAAATAATTTTGCTTTAAATTCAAAAAATTCTGTTGTAGCACATCTATTGTTATTGTAATTTAATACAATTGCTTATATAATAATAGTCATATTTTCGGATTTTAATTGCCCTTAATCAGCTCTATTTGTTCACTAATCTATTGGTCATGTGCCGGAGCTATCTCAATGAATTATTGTTGTGTGTACATTAATAGAGTACATAAACAAAATAGGACAATCGCGTGCGATGATAAGCCTTTAAAGGGGACCTGTTGTTTGATGAATATTTTGTGTAGATAAAAAGTATGGAGGCTTAGTCGTTACATTTTTAATATAACTAGGCCCCGAAACAAAATGTGTTCATAATTTACAATAACATTCGTACAACAATGAAAGTATTATATTACTTACTTCATTAAACTGAAGGTACAAGAGACGGTACTCTGTATTTACAAGTTGCTTGTAAATATAGGAGTGTACTTCGAGGTCAGTCTTTTGTAGAGAAGGATAATAATAATCATTGCCACGTGATTAACCCCTGTAGTCGTGCGTAGGTCACGCATTCATCGATCTGACATGATATACCAAGGTTATACGTTATAATTATTGACTATAAATATGTAGTTTAACTGAAATTCATGGGTTGTTTTGTGACGGATTTTTCGTCGCGAAATGTAGTAAACATTGAGAATGATTTCATCAACATTATTCAAATTGATATTATTGTTAACAGATTTCCTGGATCAAAATGACAATGCCAAACAAACATTACCTGAATATAGATATGTCGAAATTTCCCGCCAACGTGACGAAAGGTGACCCCAGACATCACATTTACCAACCTATCGACAAACCAGCTGGACTCATTTACGCACAGCTACGCCGTAGACCCAAAAGTCACCTGTGATATAGTATGCATCGACTTAATATTAAGAACTAAAGATCAAGAAAATGTTTACTAGGAAATATGAGTTAGGAACATATTAACGTATTTTTTTTATATTTAAAAATATAACCAAGTTATGTATTTCTACTTTCCTTACTTTCGTTTTAGCAAGTTAACAAATTCTTCGCCGTACGTTATTCAAATTTAATTAAATACTCGTTTGTAAATTAAACGTCGGCATTTTCATATAAAAAATATTTATTTCTAAATTATGTCTTATGATCATTTATGAAAAATTCAAAGTGTAGATGATGTCATAACTGCTGAAGAATAATTTATAAATGAAAGCGCACAAGTAGACTCTGAAAAGTAACAAAAATCTAGTCAACTTAAAAGAGTGTGGGCGCAATAAATATATTAAAGTAACTGATCAGGTATAAGTTCGTAGTTTTATTCTATTCTATAGTTTTTGTATATACATAAAAATAAAGAAAATAAGTATTACACGGTTTTTAATATTGTTCCAAATTACCTTAATATGGAAAAGGGTTGTTAAAAACTGAAACGATTGTTAAGAATAAAACATTTTCTTATTTAATGCTGTTCTGATATGACTTACAATTTCGTTTGGACCTTTCTTAATTAAACGCAATAATATGTCTTTAAAAAAGTTTAACAAACGAAGTGGTTTCAAATTACATGGAAACAGATAGGTATCACTTGCATTGCTCACACTAAAATCGAACGTTCACAGACGTTTTTGGCCTATGATTTTATCAGCCAATGCGTACAGCTCTTCCACCGTCTGAAACAAATTATTTAGGCTATAGATCAATTAAAAGTTGTAAGTGCTTAGGCGTCGATAGCGTTTTCAAATTTATCATTTATCGAACATGTCACGGTATCAAGTAGAGCATTACACTCTATTGTATTGGGGTTTTAGTGGCATACTTTGGCAGTGTCAACTTAATATCATATTAGACAAACATTAAACTTTAATAACATTGAAAGCATTCTACATATGTTAGTATCGTGTCAATGACACCCGTCCGCACTCTTGTATCTGTGGCGTGGACTCTGTTCGGTTGCCATCTGCCCGGACGTGATTTTTTTTATGATATGCGCAATTGTGGGCAGATAGTGAAGTGTTTAATCATATTTGATGACTCATCCTTCCTCAGTAGTTCTTGTTGCTAACTATGAGTGCAAACTGCTTAAAAATTTTATGGTTGTTTATGAAGTACTAAAAGAATAAAAGAAACTCGATAACTTTAAGACAGAAAAATCTTTTTAGTTTTTTGAAGTTATACTTATTTTTTGCATATGGAAAAAAAATTACGATGCCGATTCTCAAAAAGCGACACGATGAAGTTAGTTGTGAATACCAATAATTCCAAGGTAATTAAATAAACCGTTATCAATTGGATTTAATGTCTTTACGCTAAATAAGTTTAACTTCAAACGTGCGTACATAAGTACACACATACTTTTTTTAGATTTAGGATTTTATGTAAGTTATTTTCGTGCTAATTTTCTTAAATTCCTGAAAAAAAAAAAATTGATGACTCCGTGGCGCAGTTGTCAAGGTATTGGCTTCGGCGTCGGGGGTCGTGAGTTCGATTTCCACACGGGACAACTATTTGTGCGACCCACAGATAGTTGTTTCGCATCTGGGTGTTTGTCCTCGTGCAATTTAGGTTTGTAAAACTTCCTTACAACACAGGATAATAAATTATCCTAAAGTGAGGGCAATGTTTAAAAAAAAAAGAAAGAAAAAAAAGTTTGGATGGTTTTAACTTAACCATATGTCTACAGACTTTCGAGGTCTATTTGATATGTAACTATTACAGTTTTACGACGATGTAAAATACCTAATTTGGTCGTAAAGGGTGCTAGAGACAAAAGCAATAAAAGGTTTACGATAGCGATTAATGTTGCTTAAGTCATCAATAATAATTTAATTACAGTCAGAGTGCGAAATTCAAGTTGCACATTGAATATTCTAAAATTGTGTAAGTTTATTTAATTTGTATTTATATGCTTTTATTTATTCTTTTCTTTATTCTTCTTCTTCAGCATGTGTTCGCCCACCGTTGGGCATACGCCTCTCCAATTTTCTTCCATTCGGAACGACACTTTGTATTTAAGTTTGTGTAATTTTAAGTGTAAGTAATCTTGACAAGATTAATTAGACATATGACATCGTCTTAAGAAAAGTCGAGTGACATTTATTATAACCGTGATCAGGCCTCGAATATTTGGACGTCTATACATATACCACATACAGATGGTAAGGCGCGTGATTATTATAGACAAGACATGGGTCATATAAGCGAATATGTCACATATCATTATATTAACTTGATTAAGTTTTCAGTGATAGCTTCTAAGAGTTACTATTCGGTTTCCACCACTGGACATCCTGGCGGAGATAGATGACCGAGTTGATACTCGCCTTCGGCTACCCCAGGATGAATCCGAGCCCCTGGATGCGGGAGAACTGCGGGAGCAGGAGCGTACAAGGGTGTTTGGGATTTGGCCCGAGAGCTTGGTAGAACCTCTGAACTTGCGCCAACGGCTTGTCACTGCGTTGGCTTAGTGCGAGGGGATTTGAGCACGTCACCTTGCCTGACGCAGGTACTCACCGGTCACGGGTGCTTTGGTGAGTACTTAAATAGGTTTGGACGCGAACCGACAACACAATGCCACCACTGTGGTGAGGACCGTGACTCCACGCAGCACACTCTTGCTGAGTGCCCAGCGTGGGAGTCAGAGCGTCGGATCCTGGTCCAAAAGATCGGGCAGGACCTATTTCCAGCAGTGACAGAGGCGGCTGCGCTGGTGGAGAAATCCGCTTGGATGGCACTGGTCTCCTTCTGCGAAGCTGTTATGCTCCAGAAGGAGTCAGCTGAGCGGGAAAGGGCGAGGGCCGACCCCACTTGTAGAGGAAGACACCGGGTCGGTAGAAATGGACGAGCCGCCCCGTCAGCCCTGTAGTCTCGGGCTCGTAGAATAGAGCTAAGGTATCCCCTGCCTGTCGTAAAAGGCGACTAAAAGAGGACATGGATTGGTCGGGGAAGGTTTACCTTTCTCCGAGGCGTGTTCAAACGCATTACTGAGGGACACCGGTGCGTTCCGTGAGAGATCCCGGAATCCCTCCAAAGGTACAGAAGGTGGCCACAGAGGGGGTTTTACTCGGTACGAACCCCACATAACCCTGTGATATCATGACAGGGTATCTTTTAAAGATTTCCCCCCGATACAAAAAAAAGTAAGAGTTAGTATTAATAATTAACTAATAAGTTGCGAAACGAATTTGTAGGATTGATAATAAAAATAAAAGAAATTGAATATACCTGGTATATTTTTTTAAACTATTAATTGGACAAAATATAAACGTAATAGCGAAATAATGGAACGCAAGTAATGTATTGACTCAAAGTTGGTGTAAATTATTTCAAAATAAGTTTTTGATAGCCATATTACGAATGAAAAATAAATTAAACGCTTTGAAGAAAACTTTACATAACAATCGGATCTTCATTCAATGCTTACATTTAACTAAAACGAGGGAGATTCTCTCCAAATGCTTATTTCGAATGGTGTATAATAAACTACTGTAATGAAAAAAAAAATCTATTAATTTTAAATGCACATAATTATGAAAAAATATCAATCATTCCAATTATTAAAATAGTAAATAAATATATCCGTTGAAATAAAGCTGTATGGGCATAAATCAAGTTCAGTTGATAATAAGGAAAAAATTTATACTGAACCTACAATAGAATAAAAACAATTCAGTGTTGCTTTAAAGAATGGATGCTATTGATTTATTCATAGATTAGATAAGATTGTATTAATCAGTCATTAATAGTAAGTGGAGTATACCTTGAGATTAAACGAAAAATGATATATATCATCAATACGAGACACATCCCTACAGTAATTCTATTCTCCCCTTTTATGCTTATCGGTGTCGGATCATACCTCCACTGGTTTACCGTTAATAATATGGTGTTAAATGCTTAAAAAAACTAAATGCCTTCTTTTTACCCTTCCCAGCGTTTTTTATAGCTTATTAATTATTCTTGGGAATTACAGTGGATTCTGGAGGAAGCGGTTAGGCAGCTATCAGACATCGATTTGTTTATTTCAGTATCATTTCCACAGCAGGTCATCTCGTCTTACGGCATTTTGTTGTGGGTAGTGCATCTGATATAAAATTCTATACTTAGCACGAATACACTCAGAGACCTTTTTAAAGAGATTAATATACTCACTGTCGTTATTTATTGTAATATTTTGCTCGGATATAAAATAGTGACAAAAAATACTAGAAATAGTAAAAAAGTTACCAAGGTCGTGTTCCGTCACAATTGTCATAAATGTTAGAGGGTCAGGGAAAGTAGCATCTATCTGATAAACAACCTTTATGATACTCTGGTATAATTTGATCTAGTCAACTTGAATTAAATTTTAAGCAATTTAGATGTTTTTTTGTATACAAAATCTTAGAAAAGTAGTAGTTTATCAATATTTAAAACGTCTTTAACATTCTACTATACCTATATGGTAGTCAAGTGAGGTTTTGGTTACATTTTATTGATATAATGTTTATAATTAAGTTAACGATAAAATTAACAAAAATGTTTACAATATTAAATCTAATAAATCTAGCTCACGCAGCAAGGTGCCAAGGTCGCTAACTGCATTTTCTCGCTGAATAGTTATACATATTGCTTCAAGCAAAAAAAGAACCGGACCTCTTACAACCAGTCACGTTAATGGGTTGAGGACATAAATCTATTCAAAATTGTATTATGCGGGGACTCCACGGACCTAAAATTTATAGCAAATGGCACAAATGCATAAATTACACAACGAGACCCATTTTAGTTCGATTTACCTAATTACCACGTACATGAGATACTGCCAAAGTGTCTATGCCAGTAGCATCCCAAACTAGGACTTTGCTTCTTTCCCAAGGGATTGAAGTCAAGCCGTCGCGTGTCTTGCCATCGTGACGGAAAATGCCAAAAGGAGTCTAGAATGGTGTATCTTGTATTAACTGATGTATGTGTTTCAGTCCCAAAACTATTAAAGCTTCATCTGACGCAGAACCGGTGGGCCGAGGCGATGGCGAACTAAGTGCTACTAGTGTTTGTTGCTACACTAACTGTGTGTGTAGTGTTATCCGGCGGGACCCCCGACTGTGGGTCCGAAGATTTTTAGAATGGCATGAAAATTGATAGAAACAAAAGTCCTATGGATAACAGAGGTCATATACGCTATGTACAGAAGCAAGAAAGGTACGTTAGTAGAGCTATACTAGAAAATTTCCCTTACAGCTATACCACTAAAACAAATAGCTTGAGACCTATTTAATCCGTTAAGAGATGAATTTTGAGTATTTTGATTTTGAAAAATTTTGATCCAATCGATTTTGATCGGATCGGATTGATGCTTAAAAACACAGGAAAAACACTATGTTCATCACACAATATTTTTCCAGTAGTCGAAATCAAACCCACATCCTCTGACACAATAGGCAGGCACACTACCCACTACACCAAACGGGCCGCAATTCGGTCGCCGTTTTTGTTTTAAATAGATTCATATATTAATATTTAAATGTTGTATTTTCATGCCATTTTTTTGGAGCCATCTGCATTCATTGGATGCAATCTGATCCGCAGATCGCTACGTTACGATCCATTATGATCCACAAATTCGGATCGAGCTAAAAAAAAGGGACAGCTCTACTCTTAACAGGGCAATGAGGTGTGAAAATGTCAAAGAAATACAAATGATATAACTTACTGTTAGGTTTTTCAATGTCTTAATATCACTGGTCTCGTATTTCAGTTGAGCAAATTGTTCATCGGTGAAACGAACGCCTTTCTCTATATCAGCTGTTTTCAATTCTTCTAACTCTTCGTGACATTTTTTAAGGAGTTGTTCGGGTGTTAGCTTAAAGTTTTCCTCGTCACCTTCTTCTGGTTCCGCCTCTTCGCCAATAACCTATAATAATGCAGCAGTTTTGTAACATATTAAGGAATAAATAACAAACTTAAGCACAACCAATTCCGTAAATTTATTTTATTTAACAACCTTATTTAATTAGAAGACCCAAGAATAATAATAAAAAATAATAATAAATTTCGGGACATTATTTTATACAACGTTATATTTTTTTATGTGAGAAAGTGGTAAACGAGCTGGCGGTTCACCTGATGTTAACTGATAACCGCCTTCCCAAGGACATTTGCAACATCCGTAGGGTTGCAGATGCGTTGCCACCTCTTAATAATGTGGGCCCCGGCTACCTCACATACCAGACGAAACGCAGAAGTGCAACACTTCTACTTTACGCCGATCTTCTGTAAGGTCGTGGTACTACCCCGGACGGACCTGCCCATTGGACAACAGCGAACACTGTTGCGTAGCCCTACCACAGTAAAATTAAGTAAAGCTTGTTTTATGGGTACTAGAAAACTGATGATCATACTTAAAAGTACTTTTCTTTTGTAAATCTATATCATTCCACCGATAATGGACTATTTCTCTGAAACATAAGGCTTGAAATTTGGTAGGAATATTCGTTTCGCTGAGTAGAGGTCAGCTAAGACGGATTTTACGAAATTACACCCACAAGTGGTGTTGCGGAGGCGTTAACAACCAGCTAGTGAATACATATTATAATAGATATATAAACACCCACAAACTATAAAAACACTATGATCACCACAAAAAAAAAAAAGAATTCCCAGTAGTGGGAATCGAACCCACACCCTCTGGCGCAAAAGAGAGGGTCACAATCAATTCAATTGGATCATACGTTATTATAAAAATAAATATTATTGGTGGTGAAAAGGTTTGAAAGTAGGTGAAGTACTTGTTCAAGTTTTTGTGATGCTTTCAATTTTCTGTAATAGGCGTCCGCTCTCTTCTTTGACGCTCTAGCAACTTCCCTATTCACCATTCGCCAAAACACGAACACGGGGTGTTGTAGTAACTCAGGTGGGCACTCCTTGAGAGGAGTTTTACCTACGAGAATCAGTCGTTTCAGTCTTTCCATCTCATCGAGCTGCGAATAAAATGAATTTGTACATTAATGTTATTGATCATTTGATGAAGTAGATGAAGTAGAATATAAGCTGTATAATTATTAATTTATACCCATCATTCCGCGATAGCTCAGTGTCCTGGCTAATTCCATATACTCAAGCAACCTGAGTTCGATCCCCGGTGACGGCACCAATGAAGTTTTTAACTTTAACTACTGATTTATCACGTGCTCCGCGGTGAAAGAAAACATCGTAAGGAAACCTGCATATTTTCGAAATACTAACAATATATAGAAATCTGAAGTTCGCCAATCCGCAGTGGGCCGCGTGGTGGACTATGCCCTGATACCCTCTGTATAGAGGAGGCCTTTGCCCAGCAGTGGGACATGTCTAGGCTGTTACTTTACTTTACACATCATTCTAAATATTTTTTTTAATGTGAGTAGGTAGCAAGCGAGCTGGCATTTTATCTGATGTTAAGTGATAACCGCCGCCCATTATTTGTAACACCCCGATTACTCATGTCACCTTTTAATAAAGTTAGCACCGGCTATCTCATTCACCAGACGAAACGCAGAAGTATAACACTTCCACTTTACGCCGGTCTTCTGTGCGGTCGTGGTACTTACTTGGATGGACCTGCCCATTCGTGATACAGAGAAGACTGTTGTGTGGCCCTACCACAGTTGAATATGTCGAATGTTGAAATTAAATATGAACTTTGTTTAATAATTAATAAAAGTTAATATTTGTTTTATCGTTTAGGACCATAGCGTTTTTTAAATATATTATTATGAAGATTGTCTTTTATTGCCAATTCTTTAGATTTGTAAGATTTCGCCCAAACAGCTTTAGATTAATATTCCTAGGAACATAAATAAGCGTTGTACTCACAACTCTCATTGATATCCTCTTGTTGAGGTTTTCCTCATTAACAGTGCGAATCCTCTCCTCTAAATCTGTCATGTAGGTCTTGTCCGTGAGCCGCACGAGATTTGAGCCCATATGCTTCTCGAGCCGCGCACGGACATGCGGGTGGGTGAAGCTATTGAGACCAAATTGTATATTTAGCATGTATAAAACTATATACAAACGATACACAATTTTGCAGCATTATGACACAAACTTTTGTATGTATATTAAAATGAGAAAGCTGGAGTTTTAATGTTTGAACGTGCTCATCTCGGAACTTTTTCTTCTTGCTCGGTCTCTCAATTCTGAGGATAGTGACCACATATCATTGTGTGGGAGAGTCCACTGCGAACGATCGTAGGTGGTGTGAACTGTACTGCTGCCCACTGCCAATTTATTTTATTATAAATGGCAACTTTATTTGATAAGAATGAAAATTCTATAATTTATGTACGCACAAGCTTAAGAAACGGATCATTAACAAGACATAAATGTAAAACAATAATATTGACAATCTGGAGGTGGTCGATGCGAATACAGAGGACTAAAGTGGGCTTATTCAAATTTTATAAGTCCGCCGGGGTTTCACAGTAATAAATATTAATACAGAGGCAATTATTAATATTTATATAACCTATTGCGTGGTGAATTATTTTACATTCTTTACAAAATCTAGACAGAGAAAAAATTATAGCGATTCAAAAATAAAGAGTAAAAGAAATATAGCTAATCAAAATCACAATTTTTCATTGCTCTGAAATACCCGTATGATCTAAATATTATACAATTGCTAATAGAATGTAGACGGGCTATCTTAAAATCCAAATAATTTACAGGCTAAATGAAAGTATATTAAGAACATCAATTACTGCATTATCGTTATCTGCTACTTACATTCCCCTCGTTGGTGGGTGATGCAACGCTTGCCGCTTCGTTTTGATTAGTATTTTGATGGACTTCGAGCAAAAAGCAGACTCACCGTCTAGCCGACTCCGCCGTAAAGTTTTAGTAGTTTTGACGCTAGCCGCCTCGTGTCATAGTTGAGACCTCTATCGAGGTATATTGGGCCTGGTACAGTATGGTACGCCCCCGATAACACCACCATGTAGGGTACGTTTAATGAAACCTACATACTTACCTGCTCGATTCTAAATTAATAACTCAGTACGAGAAATTATTTAATTTTTATTAACTTATTAAATATTATATTTATTATACCTTCAAGAGTTATCGTATTTATAAATAAATAGATGTGTATAATTATGGTGCATGTCATTTTACTATCGCAAGCTTTTGGACAATTATGACTATTTTCATAATAAAAGGGATACATTTTTTCTTTTAAAAGTCAGAATACATTTACCAATAATAATAATACCCATTGAATAATGCAGGAAGTCATGATTTTTTTTCTAAACTCTATTTAAAAATTTGTTAAACGGTTGGTCCAAAACGTTCCAAGCCGATACGCCGCCAAATAATTTGGTACCTACATAGAGGGAGGTAAGGTGGTATGTAGTAGGGATGATCAGATATAAGCATATACGCACAAGCTACTTGATATTTAAATGAAGGTTTAAGTCTAGAGACTAAACCTTCATCTAACACCGATGCCGTAGAAAAAAAATTGGCTACTTCCTAAGCTAATGGTCATGCATATGCATGCATGCATGTGTGCATGAGCTGGTGATCGTTGAAGTATGTTGACTGGACCTAAACGACTGTAGACTGTCTTATAAATCACTGGCTGGCGTCGGTAAGAACCATTCAGGAACGTGGGAGATTGCTGGGTTAGTCGGTTTCGCAGTGCTCGTAGGCAAGGCTAAACTACATACAGTTTTCCGTGAATAAAACGTGTGTATGTGTAGTGTTTTCTTGTGGGACTCCCGGTGGGTCCGAGTAACTTTATTCCCCATCGGGTTAGTCACTGAGACAATCGGTAGCGCTTTGGAATCGGATAATGATACGGGTTGTATATTTGTCCGTGTAGAATAGTGTTGTGTCGTTCGCGACAGTGCAAGTACAACAAATAACTCTGAGGGATATCGCTTGTGTAAAGGCGAGAGGCATAAACCTTGAGGAACGCTTGCTATAAGGGGGAGGCTCGTAGAGAGTGCCGTCTAAAGTATAGCGGAAAGAACGGTTGGCCAAGGGAGCTAGGATGGTGTGAATGACTCTATTCGCCACTTGATTTTGAAAAGCTAAAAAAACAATGCGTTATCACACTTTATCGAAAGCCTTTTTTTACATCGAATGAAGAATTGCCTGATGAAAATTTATCATAACCTGTATCATACAGTTTTAGCCCCAAACCGTTATTATTTCAGCTCTTTTCTATTTAGTATCGAAAAGAAAATTGGAATCGTTTTTTTTTCCAACGATCAAAATAAAGGTAGGTAGGTAGCGATACTTTTACAGCATTTAAATGTGTAGTATGAAGGAAATATGAAAACTACTGATTTGTCTAAGTATTATATAAATTTAAAATATTTCTTCCTTTTATAAACTAGTTTATTTTAGCTTCTCGTAAATACTATTTAGCTTGAATGGTGTTTTTAATATTCCATGAACATTTGTAACATCCGTAGGGCTGCAGATGCGCTGTCATCTTCTAGTAAAGTGGGCTCTGGCTACGTCACTCACCAGATGAAACTTGGTGGAACGTGGTACTTCCCCGGACGAGCCTCTTCATTCATGCAACGGCTAATGCGTGCAAAAGGCTGCTGCGTGTCCCCACCACATTCATTTTTGTTAGTTCCCAATATTATGTATGGTTTTCAGAATGAAGCATTTTTAACGTAAGTAACTGTTAACATAATCTATTAAAACATTCCGTAAACATTATCTGGCACAAGCGATGAATATTCGGCCGATTACTAAAAAATATAACGAATACAAACATTCGGCTGACGGTCCATATCAGAGAAATAAAAAGAAAATTGTAAGTCTAATGTATAGCCCCCTTTATATTCCGTGACTTAAGGCTGTCAAACAATCATACGAGAACACGATGTCTAAAGATTCTTATGAATAAATATTTTTAATGCGAATATTGTAATTGTGAACAGCGTTCCCCGCTGAAACGCGTAGAATAATGATAATGTTGAAAAATTTTAATTGATTGGTTATAATACTAAATAATCAAATCTTCTTGACTCTGGTAAAAATGTGAAAGACATGATGTGATTGTAATCACATCGTTTTTTTATTCGGGAGATATTTCCTAAAAAGCCGTCGCCCGACACTCACATCAAAAGAGGGCTTTCTAATAATTTGCTTGAAATAATCCTTGAGAAAAAAATTAAGAAAACAAATTTCACAACCAGACCATTAGATTTCTCAAATCTTCAAAATATAGATATTTTTATCTCCTTTTAAGAGTGATAGATAGGGCAGTGATCCTAGGGTAGTCCTACGGAAGCCGGAACGCGATCACTTCGTCCACTGAAAGAGGGGATCAAGGCCCACATCATTATTACTTTTGAACCCTTTTGGACACCTCTTACGGCAAGCAGAGCTTACCACAGTTGTGTCATGGAACCAGGCAAATAGGGCGAGTATATGGTATAAAACAAAGTCGCTCCCGATGTTTGTACGCTTAGATCTTTTAAACAACGCAACTAATTTTAATGCGGTTTTCAGCAATAGATTGTGATTCAAGCGGAAGATTTATAAGTAGTACACATGCATATTATAACACAGAAAAGTCGAGAAATTCAATATCCACATTGCACCCGTGCGAAAGTGGAGCGGGTCGCTAGTACTATACATATATAATACTATCGATACCCGCCTGTGCATACGTAACTCGAATAAGTCGTGTCTTGTTTAATTGTTATGTGTAGGACACACATCAGGACTGAAATAAATTAAACATTTAACACAAAACAGGACTGAAATAAATAAATTGTGCAAAAAATAATTTTAATTTGTGTAAATTTCTGTTCGGTAATAATACAGGGTGGCTTTTTTAAAGGTGCCTATATTCACACAGGAGGTACAGACTCGGCAGCATAATCGTTTATTGAAATAAAAACAAACATTTTTTTTCAAATAAATTGCCATTCCATTCCCTTAAAACTTTTTGAGATAGGTTCCAAAGAATGTATTTAATTTATTATTAAAATATATTAAATTATTAATATTAAAAATATTAATAATTATTAATATTATTATTTAAAATTACGAGTGATTTTAAATAATATTTATCATTTTTTATATAACATTATTTATGTCTAGAATTCAATAAAAAAATGGATACATTAAGAAAAGCCTCCTTGTATATACCCGTAAGCCATATAACAGTTCGATATTTGATCGAAGTGGAAAATGATGCCGAACATTGTTTTTTTTTGCTGTAATAGGTGAAGTTTACTTTACTGTGGTAGGGCTACACAATTGCTTCTGCTAGACCACGAATGGGCAGGCTCGTCCGAGAAGTACCACGGTCTCACACAAGGCCAGCGTGAAGCGTAAATCTTGTTAATACGTATGTATTTCGTGTGGTGCCCGTGGTAACCTGCGCCAATTTTTGTTTAAAGGTGTTGCAGATGTCCATGGACGACGATATGCACTTAGCATCAGGCGAACCGCCTCTTCGCTTGACAACTTCTTTTCACATAAAAAGACACAAAGTGAATCGTTGATCGGTGACTTACAAACTAAAACATTTTATCTTAGCGTCAAATTTATTCTTTCTCTACCCAATAACAAATTGAAATGTATGTCTTTCCATAATTAAGGGATGACGTGCACAAATTACCTGCATTGGTTTGAAACGACACAAATTTTATAAAAGTTAATTTGGATCGCATATAACTATTATGTTTAAGTATCAAACCACTGGGTTCATAAACTTATTTTCGTCATCTTTATGAATTCATAAATCTCCTAACTACGAACTACTTTTTACTCATTCAAGGGTTACAAAGACATTTAGTTAATAAAATTTTATTTGGTTCCACGCTATTGTAATCTGTCACGCATCAATAAGCAGAAATGCGTGATTAAACGTGAATGTGCTACTTTAATTATGCTTTAAGATTAGCGTTTAATAACTGGGCACGCAATGCTTTCTCTGTGATATTTTAAGTTTTTCCAAATTTAAAATTAACTAAGAATTTGATTTCTAACAAAAAAAAACCATGAAATATATATAAATCATGTCAGCGGCATATAACATTTGATAATTTGATTTTATACCTTAATAATGAGTAAACTGTGTTAAAATAAAACAACTTAGCGGATTTTATAGCGTTTTTATAACTTTACAGCGTTCATGGTTACATGTATAAGAAGAGATAGTTTTAAGACCTCAACATGCTACATCGTTTAAACATCATATTTTTCATGAGTAACACGTGTTTGTTCCTAATAAAAGATTCTTGGATTGTAAACTTAAGAGTAAATAACCTAATTTGAATTTTCCCACTTGATCAATAAGATCAAGAAGATTAAGTCAAGACGGAGGCCATGTAATCATTAAGGACTGTGCTCATACGATAAGATTTGGGTTCATAAGAATGCGTTACTCTAGGAATTAATTTTTGTATTCACTAAATTAGGAACCTAAAAATTCAAATAACTGGGATTTGTCTACCCGTGCAAAGACGGGGAGAGCAATGATGATATCATATTCTGTAAAATATTAAAACGACAAATCTAAAAATTAATATATTATTGCCATTTCACTACAATCAATACATTCTTAGAAATTAACCTGACAAAGAGATGAAGAACAGACGTCCGCAACTGAAGGTACAATAAAAATAGACTGTAGGCGAGCAATAGTCAATAAATTGAGCGAGTGATAGACGAAAACCTCTTTCGTTGATTACCGAATAGTACTGTAAAGTATTTGAGTTGAGTAGCTATTGAAATTTTTAAAGCTCCTCGTTTGACTACTGATCGTAATGCAAGAAAATTTACGGCTGTTCAAATAATGGGTAGGCAGTACATAATTAACAGAATTATGTTTACAACAAACTAATGGCGGTTTTGATCACATTCTTTATAAATAATAATCTTATGTTCAAAATATTTTATTTAAATTAATTACTAATTGAAATCGAACATTAATCTGTTATCTGAAGAAAAAACATTATTTGGATGGTATAAATAACACGTACGTAGTATGTATTGCATATGTGGTATTGGTATGTTAGTAACACTAGTGCGAAAATATATTGGTTGTCCGATTTTTGTGAAAATGTATGTGGTGCTGAAAACCACGCAAACCTGCAAAGACCCATCGAGTACGACCCAAATACGAGTACACAAATACGAGGTAGCCATGAGACTAGCGCACCGAAACCGAGACACTCAAATTACGCCAATTGGCATTATCAGAATGCTATTCTATAGATTGCTATCTCTTACCGTATCATACGTTCTATATCATCTTTCAAGTTCACTTATATATGTCATACTAGCTGCTGCTTGCAACAATGTCTGCGTAGAATAGGCAGGCGTAACATTCAGACAGAAAGACAGATATACTTAAAAGTATGTACATAAATTTTAGCCTATGTCTTATTCTGATGTATTAGGTATATCATTGTAAAGTTTCATTAAAATCCATTCAGTACTATTTGCGTGAAAGAGTAACAAACATCCATCCACACATACAAACTTTCGCCTTCATAATATTAGTAAGGATAATTTAATGTGGAACAATTTTAAACGCCGCGCAATATGGACATGTGTCATCTTTATTAAACATTATTGCTCTTAACCTATGCCATGGTTGGCTTATAGTCAACAAAGTAGTAACGTTTATTTCATATATGAATAAAAGTCTAGACTCATTGAGATCTTAACTAATCCTTATATAGACCAGGGCATCCACAAATTATGTGAAGCGGTGTCTTCTCGTCATTACTGCAAAATCACAGAATGAGCACTCTAAAAGTCCGTTCAAATGCTATTTTGCATTTGAACGGACAACATTATGCTATAATGCAAGCCAGGAGTAAGTCAGTAATATTGGTTGAAAATACGTACACAGTAATAACGAATGCTTTAGCAAAGTGGGATGGCCCCGCTCACTTCCGCGAAACAATACATCAGCTGGGTAAACATTTTTATCGAATCGCCTGTTTTTATTGCGCTAATATTTGGCTTACGAAATAAAATATACATGTGGCATTTTTTAAGACGAGGTTATCACTCTAGCTACGGATTCTGATAAATGGTGGCTGTTGTGATAATACTTTCGCAGGGAGATGATTGAATTATCACGGAATACTCAGTAACTACCCGAAACAAATAAAAAATATTTTTTTTTATTATGAGATTAAAAAAGTTTCTTAGCATTATATCTATAGAACCGTTAAGGTTGTCTTTGCGCTTAATGTCACTGGTATAAAGAATATTCTCCTAACTATAAATAAATACTTGAAACTATATGCATAACTATAAATGTTCACACAAATTATCGGTTATTATTGCAGCTCTGGACGCGAAAATTTTCTTATTATAATGGATTTCCTAGTTGGTCTAAATTTTTGATATTATCGAAATAAATGTAACGGATGTAAATTATTAAACACCAAATTAATTAAGTTTTAAGAATCTATAGTTAAGTGTTTTTACCAAGATTTATTTACAGAATGCAAAGTATTTTTCTGGTTTGATATTATATTTTATCACACCCACTCTGGCAAGTGTCGGACTAACTTTCAACACGTTCTTTTAACTTCAAAAAACATCTTTGCATCGACTTTAAATAAGTTGAAAACACCTGGCAGCACGATCACAAAGTCCGTGATTTCGTATTCATAAGTTCACTGCCTCACAGTCCAAAGCCTCCTATCCTGCGTTGGTCTTAGTCAACGCATAAAACTGGCTGCCTTATTGTATTAACAAATAGGGGACTATAATATTATGTTAATTATATAAGAATAGGGATATTGTAGCTTCTGTGGTAGGGTTAAGAGGAAAAGATCTAAAACATGAAAGTCACTGGCTGGGGCTATTCGCACCTATGCCAACTACGAGACAATATCATAGCTTATAATAAGTCCATCACTCCTTTTTCTCGTATTAAATTTGTAGATTAAATTTATTCTATCTATTGGTAGATTAAATTTATTCATGGTAAATTACGTCTACATAATAATTTTTATTTTTTTCAATAACAGTATAAGAACTAAAAAATACCCATTTGTATAAAGATCTTTGGTGTTGTATTTGCCCGTGTTTATGCCAACATCATTTATTGCATTAGTTACCAGGAATGTTCGCACACAGCCCAGATTGTAGGTGACGACACATCGCCGTGAGTACGTCACTCGTTTGACGCTAAAGCTTGCGGTCTTGTAATTTAAATACGCTCCAAATTCTCGAGACTGGAAGAATGCTCCCGAGAAAACGCAGCGATGAATATACGTCGGAATCATTGAGCAATAAATAGAACGTTTATATATATTTTTTGTGGGACGTTACACGGAAGAAGTAATCCTAATGTTGATGAGAGAAAATACGAGGCATACATATCTGGTTCCCAAAGATTTGTTAAATATAACAATTGATGGCTACTTCGTGAGGCGAATCGTAAAAAGATGTTTGTTCCTTCGTTTACCTTTGGAACGTAACATACGTCGGGGCGTAGTAAACAATTGTATACGAACTTCTCCGTACAATTGCCATTAACAACATTTCTCGGCACTAAGAAATTTAGGCATTGAGATGTATTTATTGTATTGTGGTCCAGTTCTAAATGTGATTTAAACTATCGAAACGAAGGGACACGCTTAGGTCGTTCTATTAGAAAACCGTCAAATTGTCGGCCGTAAAACGAGAAACTGTGATATTTTTAAAGTCATAAAGATCGCGTCACGGGTTAACGGCTCGTGAATACTTGCACTCTTAGATTGTGTGCTCTACTTTCATGTATTAGATCATATTCGTCTAGCGATTATATATAGTTTATCTGTATCTTGAATGTAATAAACAAGTGATGATAAAAATAACCTATGAGTTATTGGCGCATGACTAATTCTTGCACAGCTATTTTTAATTTTAGAGCGCGCTTATTTTATTTGTATCACGAGGATACCATCGTGTTAACTACTCTTTATTTTCTTTTGAATTATTCTTTATTGAAGATTATTAAAAGTTTATGTTAAAAGTTCTATTTATTTTTTATGACGCATAAATTTAGGTTAGCCAAATTATATTTAGTATTTTTTTTAAATCCGCTATCCCAAACTATACACATATACAGGTTAATAAAAATAAATTTCATAATAATTCACTAAATCTATAATCGAAATAAACATTACGTAGACGAAACTTACAAAGAAATCTCTGCGAGGCTTGACGATCATCCCATAGAACAGCAATAAAAATACGTAGATCTGTTTTCGTGACGCCATTACTTTCCGAGAATAATAAAATTAAATGGGATTTCTGAGATCAATATAGCATCAAGATGAAATTTTTATGTTATCTTGTCGATCGCCGCCGCTATTCATTACCAAAAAATGAGGAAGATATATGTTTTGTACGCGAGTGATAGATGGCTTAATCCGACCGAAAATTTAATAAAATATGTAAAAAGCGTACTTTGCTTGAAATTTTTACAGCATTCAACGGTAATGATTATAAAAAGCGTGATAAACAAAATATTTATCTCAAGACGGCTACACTGAGATTGCCAATGACGCAGATTGGTTACGCGTACCTACGCATTAAAACCTTCAAAGCACTTTGAACCATAACAAAGCTCCTCTCGATAGCGTAAACTTGTCAGATATCTGGCCGAAATTTCATCACTGATTTACGAGCCTTTTAGATATGCTCGTAGGAGATGACCGTAGCAAATACCTTTGCAGCAAACTTACTACTCGTTCCGCCGATTGCCACATAAAACATATGTACCGACGTGTGAAATTATACAAAGAGCTGTGTGAAGTGTGTAATTTATTACGTTAAAAATTCTGTTACGACCGGGCGAAGTTTATAGGTGGACACGGTTCATTACAAAGCGTTCGGGCGATGCGTGAGGGGGTTTCAAGCAAGCTGTGCGGGTGCGGCGTTGCGAGAGGAATGACCTTGAGGCGGATGCGGTCCTCGGCGGTAGTTCTAACGCCGTTGCACCGTCATCGTAGTCGCCGGTAGATCTCCTCCGGCCGCGATCCGCCAAAAGCTCGATCGTCGTCCAGAACGAGCCTTCGGAAGCGCCGGAGTTCGCACGCTGCATGCTCACGACGACCGTTGCATGTTGCCCCACAAACGGCTCAAGGTGCAATGACTGCTGCCGCCATTATAGTCACCAAGTGGCATCCCGCTCCCCCATCCCCCTCGACGCGGCGCCGCACCCCACGTGTCCCACACGCGAACTTTTAATACGCTTCGACACGTTTCAACCGTTAATTATGCGCTCACCGTCTGAAGCTCATCGACACCCAATAAACTATGAATAGAGCTTGCTGTTGGAGAATCTGATTAATATACAAGGGCGTCACTGTAATTGGTTTTTTAACCATCTTATATTTCATGCGTGTACGAACATTAGAACATTAATTATATTAATTCTATAGGTGACAATACCTACCTATGCAGGATAATAGAAACTTAAGACCAAAAGAGTAGTTGTAAAACTTAGAGAGTGTTTATTATTAACAAATAGGGATTATGTATATGTACAGAGGAAGTTATGGCAGGCAAAAATCAATCAAAATCTAGATATGATATATAATTATTTTTATTATGATATATAAACATTTATCGATACCTAGTCATTGTTTTTTATTTTATTTTTTGAATCTAACACCATTTCTTAATGGAGAAGACAGGCGAAAGAAACTCCGTAGGTATCCCTTGTTTCGTCATTTTTTATGGTTTGTCATGTTTGAGTATGGAACTCAAAAGGTAAAACGTGACCCTATTACTAAGACTCCGCTGTCTGTCGGTCTGTCCGTCTGAAACGCGATAGTTTGATAGTTGAAATTTTCACAGATGATGTATTTCTGTTGTCACTATAACAAAAAATACTAAAAAATATTTAAGAGGTGCTCTCATACAAAAGACGACTTTCTTTTCCGTTTTTATAGATAATGGTACAGAAACTTTCGAGTCCGACTCGCACTTGTTTTTCCTTAAATAAAAAAAATAACATTAAAATATTATACAACTGTTTTCTCTTTTAGATACAGCTTAGGAACGATCAAATTATAGCCAAGGTTTATTGCCATTAATCTATTCATTTATATTATAGTAATCATTTAATTTTTCAAAACACATTTTCGCAGCGACTTTAACTTTTGGTCTGCAGCTAAATCTATTAATTAAAAGAAGATTAATGTATAATTACCGTTCATATTCGTACCATGAGAAGACGTCAAGTTAATAAAAGAAGTACTATAATTAATTTATTTAGATTCAAGTCCATTGAAAAATGTGAGTAATATTGATGACTCCGTGGCGCAGTTGTCAAGATATCGGCTTCGGCGTCGGAGGTCGTGGGTTCGAATCCCACATGGGACACTTATTTATGTGACCCACAGATAGTTGTTTCGCATCTGGGTGTTTGTCCACGTGATATTTATGTTTGTAAAACGTCCTTACAACACAGGGTAATGTTATCCTAAAGTAAGGGCAATTTTTTTAATAAAAAAAATGTTGGAGCCGTTACAAACGCTTTGTTTGTTGCTGACCCACTCACTGAAACGTCCCGCTTTCGCCCCCTCAACCCGGCCATGTTGACCCGGATGGCGCCAACGTCGCCGAAAGCGCGACCGGGTCAGCCCGGTTCCACGGCCTTCGCAGTCCCAATAAAATAATTACACTGTCATCCAGTTCGTTGGAATTAGTTTACTGCGGGCGCGTTTCCCCACCTTCCACGTTTCTTATGGATTTGTTACGAGACCAACTTTTGGGGAATTACATACATTTATAGCTTTGAAAGCGACTGAAGCTTGAAGACTGGAACACACAAATTGGTCACTTCTTTAAAGAAATGGGACAGAGAATTTATAATTCGTAGGGATTATCGCCAAAAAATTAAAAAAAGAAACGAGCGCAACAAGTAATTGCGACCTGTTACTCAATATAAAGTTTAGTGATAAAGTCTGGGGAGAAAAGTTATCGCAGAACCTTGTTTTCACTAAACGAGAACTATGCATATAACCATGCAATTAATAGGTGTTGTTACGAGTATCTACAATATGTGTGATGTTAAAGTTTAAATTTTACTAAGACAATACGGTTATACTGAGGATTTGTTTGACACGTAGTTGGTAAAAATAGGTGAAAATAAAAATACATATCATATCAATTTTTGACACGAGGACAAAAATACTAGTTAATACATGAGTCTAAAGATGTAGAAAATGTGCTTAGTTTTAGGTTTGTCTCTTCCGCGACACACCCACACAGATAGCGCTCTGTTATGATAAAAAAAACTTCATAAAAATAATCTCGCCGTTTATATAACCAGTGTTAAAGAAGAAAAAAAAAACAGTTTTGAAGGAATCTATCATTATGATATTGTTTTATGGACTTACTAAGTAGCTGTATCACATGGTCACTATGGCACAGTGAATTGAATGCTCTGAATAATTCTAGGACAGTTAAGTTTTAAGTAAAAGTTTATGTATTATTAAATTCATATATGATTAACATTATTAAATCAACGTAAATCTAAGTTTTTCCCCCTTTTTTTAATTAAACTCGCCATATCCACTTATGGCACACTTTATGGAATGTTCAGTGACGTGAAAGAATTATAATTTAAAAATGTGCAGTATTCGTACAATATAAAAGAAGATATAATTAAGTACTTAACACATTGCGATACAACCTAAAGGACAAACACGTGCCATTGGTTGATCTTGGTTTGATTAAAGACATGAATATTTTTTAAATGAGCGTACGCAATTATGACGTATGAACGTAAGCCTTGCGAAACTTTTGCACGCACGCACCCTCGAAACAATTGTTTATAATCCTCTGTTCTATTCACTCGTGTAGCATGTGATTTTGTGGTCTATTTATCATTAGATCACGTGAGGTTGTATCCTAACTGGGACGTGATATAATACAAAAAAAGTAATTATGAAGAATCATAACCCCAAGGTAGTAAGATAGAAGAGCCGGGTCAATAGGGGCACTTGATAAAATATTAATACAACAAAGTGGATATTTAAATATACGTCATTGTATATAACGTCATTAAAGTAAAACAATAATATGCGATGTGGATAAAAAACAGTAAAGTAGTTAGAAGTAAAGTTAAAAGGAATGCTTCGATAGTTTTCTTACGCGTAAATGACAGATGACAAAGAAGTACAAGGAAGTAGACAGACGGAAGAAATGGAATAAAAAAAATTTATATGAAATGGATGGAAAAGTGGTTTGGTGATGGACTAGGCGATAATCCAGTCGATGTATATATCTGTTGAATGAGGTGGTCGCACTTAGGAAAAAATTAAAAATATTTCACTATCGGCAATATTAATAGGATAAGTATATACGGATATAAGTACGTAGAAAGAAGAATACTTACATGATACATATTAATTTATGTAAATTATCCCGTGACGGTTTGGTTTATTACATACTTGTTACTTAGTATAATACATTGCATCCGTGTGAAGCCGGGGCGGGTCGTTAGTAAAATCATAAATGAGAATGTAAGTTTGTATGTTACGCTTTCACGCCAAAACTACTCAACCGATTATCATGAAACTTTGTATATAAATTCTATTAAAAAGGTCATAGAATTCTTTTTATTATAACAAATATTTTAAAAGATATTTGGGTGCTTCAGCGCGGGTAGAGCCGCAGACGAAAATCTGGTACATGATGACTGTCTGTCTGTCTGCCTGTTACCATGTCACCAAAATTACTGCTTGGGAGGAGACGTGTTTCCGAGCTAAAAAACTTGGGAGTTCGCTTTGATCATTTATTGTTAAAATCTGTATAATAAAAAAGGCGACATCTGGGGTTCCTCTAAAGATAATTAAGTAAATTTGACAACATAAAGGCCTTATATGAAGCCTCGGTAAGTAGTCATTTGGAATATAAAACTATTATAAGGGCTCCACGTGAAGATAAAATATATAATACTAGCTGCTGCCCGCGACTAGCATAGTAGAACAGGCTTAAGGCGTAACACTGCGTAGAATACGCTTAAGGCGTAACATTAAGACAGAAAGATATACATAAAATATGTATATAAATTACAGCCTATATCTTATTCTGATATATAAGCTATTTTATTGTAAAGTTTCATTAAAATCCATTCAGTAGTATTTTCGTGACAGTGTAACAAACATCATGCAAACTTTCCCCTTTATAATATTAGTAAGGATTATGAGCGAACATATTCATAAAAATTGAGTTAAATTATTATATTTAAAAATATTTGGAGTGTATCTGGGCTGTCCTGTACTATATCCTTCTCGTATTTGTTCTTGGTATGGTAGGATATAGTACGCTTGACGTTAGGAGGGAAGTATTCCTAGCCGCGTACCTTTATAGAGTATTGTGTGGTATAATAAATCATCCGAGTATACTGCAGCAGATGAGGCTACGCGTACGAGGTTTTTATGAAGGAGGCGTGTACCTAGGTCACGGACTAATTTATTACGTATTGCTCTACACAAACACGCGCACTTTCTTCATTAAATACTCATTTGCTCAATGAGAGAGATGGCTATATTTCATGTTTAGTTTTAGTTATAGTTATTGTTATCGGTTTAAAAGAACAGTAACAGCCTATATATGACGCCCTAGTGGGCAAACGCCTATTCTGTACAGAGGTTGTTAGGGCACAGTCCACCACGCAACCCCACTGCGGATGGGCGGACTTCAGATATCGTTGAAATGTTTTTTTGTTATTATTTCGAAACTGTGCAGGCTTCCTCAATATGTTTTCCTTCACCGGTAAACATGTAATAAATCATCACTTAAAATTGACATATTCTTTGGTGCTGATTCACCGGGGATCGAACTCAAAAGTTGCTCAAAATAAATTGAATTAAAGCGAGAGTCCGGACAATGATATTTTCTTTGATTATATTTACCTTTCACTATCCCAATGGGTATCTCCTTTAATGATAGTTGTTAGTCGATGTATATAATATAAAATAACATTTTGAAATGTCTATTAGCTAACGAAGTCAGGGGTAAAGTTATTATGGCTAGTATGTCAATATTGACAATAACTTTTTTTGTTAACTTTTAATTAATAAAAATTCTTATCAAAATTGTTTATCGCAGTAACAAATAAATAAGTTTAAGATTTTGTTTAAAAATATTTGCTTAAGAACAGTTATCAATTGGAACTGAAATGTGTCTGTGCTGTGACCTCTGTTCTGAGGTGACCGAGTACAAATGTTATTACTCCACAAGAAGTGTAACAACCTGGAATATTTACTTAAAGACTGTGTAATAATGTAAATGGATCGCACCTTACAAAATTTAAAACAACTCTGTGATGCAATTCAGGCTTTCATTTGAAATTTCAACAAAAAGTTAAAAAATGTATTTGTGAAATAATTTTATCCGCTTTTATTTGAACGTCATTTATAAATGTTTTAGTGAATACTTCTTATTTAAAAAAAGGCTGTATCTTAATCTTCATGTGGCTGAACTTTTTGTTTTCAGTCTTTATACTGTTAAAGTTTCATTGAACACAGACCTGCTAAAGCCAGAAGCTTGATATGGCCCTCTTTATTGGGTTGGGCTGCGCATGTGCTCATTTCTATGTTACCTTATATCCGCCGCTACGGGCCCATTGGGTACAATACCCACTACTGATACCCCGTATGCCTTTGACCGGATTAATCTTTGGCGGGAGCACTGAGAAACACCTTGAACGAAGGTATGTTTTGTATACGCGTTGGGTTGGTTACATATTGCTTTTAGGCAAGGATGAACTGGTTTCGAATCAACATGGTTTTGTTCGCTGTGAAACTTTATATCTGTGTAGTATTTTTGGATGAAACGCAGCACCTGTATACCCTTTCTCGAATCGGGCGATGCGGACATTACGCGGGCGACATTTGTTAGCAATCGCGTTTATATCGGGTTGGGCAATAGATATTCAAGCGTTATGAGTAAGAAAGCAATTACATAATAAAAAGTTACATGCTATGGGTGTTTTATAATTATGCTTTATTTTAACCCTTAAGACATACATTTTTTGGCTTTGCAGAGTTGGCTCTATACGAACACAGACACGTTTCTAATATTTAATATGTTGAATGTGATAGTGGCGTCCAAAGTGATACTTAAGTATTTTAACTTCTTCTCTCAAGGAATCGCTTGGTTATTAAGTGATTTGTCTGAGCCGTTACTCTCAAGTGCTCGACCGCAATTCCATTTGATGGTAAGGGGCGAAGTACGATTCTAATATGGAATCATTGATTTTATTAAAATAAATAGTGGTTAGATAGCGGTAGACTTTATAGACCTGTTAGGAGTCGGGTTGAGTCGTAATCCATCTTAATATAGCCGCCTATAACAGCTACTAAACATATGATATATCATTTGTATATAGAAAAAATTGTGTAAAAATTACTTAAAATTAGGGCGTGACCAACTATGTAGCCAGCTCCAAATAGCAGATTAGACTATTGTTTACAATCGTCTGTGAACAGGAAAACGAACTTACGCATATTCTATGATTTTGGCTTGCCACCAACGTGGTAGATTCGGTAGTTGAAATCTTTTCATTTTTTTTCTTCCGGTTTCTCCTTCTCCCATCTCATCTTCACCTTCCACCTTTATCAAACAAAACTTCACATTACCATTGTTAAATTATATTAAATTATATTTGTACGGCTTAAACATGTTAAATATGACTATGGTAAATAATCTTTGTGACTCTAAAAAGATTATATTTATATTCTGAGCGCGATTTATTCTTTAATTATAATATTGACGACAGTTATATGTACTATATATTCATGTATATACAGTAATTGTTGATAGTGAAATTGTTTATAGTAATATGCAGCAGCTTCTACTATTGCCTGAATAGGCAGGCTCGTCCGGGGAAGTACCACCTCACAGAAGACCGGCGTGAAGTGGAAACATTATACTTTTGCGTTTCGTCTGCTGATGAAGGTAACGAGCCTACTTTTTAAAAGGTGTCGCATCCACCACTCCTTAGGTGTTGTTGATGTCCCGAGGATGGGGCTGCTTATGCGGCCACCGCTGGCAGAGTCGCGGAAGAGTGCGAAAGCGTCCCCGTGGCCCTGCTGCGCCTGATATGCGCCTAGGTGGAACATCGTGGGGGTTTAGTCGGTGCGAGTCCGACATAACCAACTCTTGCCCCCGAGAGAAAAAGGTGATAATGTCCATGGGCGACGGTAATCACTTAAAATCACGTGAACCACCTGCAACCGCTTTGACAACTCTCCACATAAAAAAAAGCTCGTAATATTATTAATTTGGCTTTATGCAAATACATAATAAATATGCAATTCAGATGTAACTATTCCAATTTCTGACTTCGAAGTAGGCGGCTATACTGAGTGTACCGAGACGTACCTGAATCTTAACTCTTTTGTCCTTGTCATTATTGTTTTCCATTGTTTATAATTTCTTATCACTTTAAATTTTACTTATTTGGATGGTAAATATCACTTATTTAAAACATTACTAGAATTTTGATACGAAAAATGATTACACTCGAAAGATTTTAGGGTCCAGTGTTTGACATACCGTCAAACCTCTGTGTCAAGGGATTACGCATCTTTTTATAAATTCAACTCAAAACTGGCCAGTACCTATATATGTCGGAGTCTAATCAGATTAAGTATATTCAACTGCATACTGCAACCCACTCTGGGTTGCGTCATAAAGACAATTAAAGTTATGATAAGGGACATTGTGGGTTAGAATAACCAAGTACGGTTGCACCTTTGAACAGAATTTGAAATCAAAAATGTTGTTATACTCACTCTGTTTTAGCTTCACACCCTACCCGATTTCATGTAAGATTTAAACATAGTGAAGGAAGTCTTTTAACAATATAATAAAAAATATATACATATACATAATTATATTTTTCATAACTTATTATAGTCCAGCTACTGTGTGTAGTCTAGCCACTTTAGTAAATCTGTATTAAATTCAATTACTTGACAATTAAAATTCAATACTTTTTTTACAACTTCTCTACTCGTAATAATGCTTTCCCGTAAATTAAATAAATTTTGGATACCGCTCACAAGCCCATTCGGATTTGTCGCTGACGAAAAGTCCGCAGAAGACGTTTTCTTTTGAGGCAATCATGTCACATTTAAGAGGCTTTGTTGAATGTGACGCTTTGACGGGGGTATTGATTGTATAACGCCATACCATCTCATAGACCTTGTAACCACCGGTGATTCAGCCGGTACGGGGCTAGATTATGTGCTTACAAAAAAGATAGTCCGTTCTTTTGATATTGATTCAACTTACTGACGCTTAACTTAGGATTAGTATACAGGTATATAGTCTCCGAACTTAAAGCAAATTCCCAGCTGTTCAGCTAAACTTTGAAAGAAACTAAAGAAACTTTGATATCATTCTTTAAGTAGATTCTCTATTGTTAGAACAACAAAAAACAGAAAATTTAGATCCGTGTTCTGGCACATCAAATTTTTCAAAATAACTGTGTAAATATGAGGCTAGTTCTTTTCTTAAATATTAATTAACTCTTCAGCGTGGATATGCAGCTAGCGTTTTTGGCATCATGCTGTTTGGGCTTTGTTTTTTAGATAAGTGAGTATTTATTTTTGTAAATATTATGTTCAATAAATCATATCCAAAATAAGCATCCAAAATAACCACAATCACCAAAATAAGAGCTTCATATTTACTGGTTGTTGTACAACCACATGAGTTGCCATACGATATCACATTATAAACATTCACGCCAATTCAGACAATAATTGAGGTAATAGTTTGAATAAATAAATTTATAGATAAAAATAAATTGATGCAACAACGTTCGGTTTTCTATTATATACAGTTTCTACCTGCTATCTTAAAAATATAGTCATTATGTAAGTATTTTTTAATTATGAATTATGGAATCTTAGAAAGGTTTTTTTAAATTTGTGAATAAAACATATTATGAATAAATTAGATTCGTTTTCACTTATATCATAATTGAATAGTTCAGAAAACATGACAAGAAACCGCTGCATACACAATCTATTTAGTATATTCATAATCAATGTAGGTATTTTTCCTTATTTATTAAACTTTCAAGGTCCATAATTGGTAGGCAGTAAGGGCAAATCGCGGCTCGTTTTGTTTCGGAAGGTCTCCCATCGCAGGCGGACCTCATTTTCCGCCGGTCCCCATTTGGAGTTCGCTCTACAATTCTCTCTGACTCTCTGTAAGTAACGTAAATCACAATAACTTCCCAAGCACTTTCCATTTATATGCAAATATTTTTGAACGAAAGGTAGTAATGGTAAAAGCCCACCAAGCGAGCAAATTGGCGGACTCTAACGTCCAGTTTCTGAAACACTGATTATTAAGAAGATCATTCTGATCAATGCAAAGAGTTTAACAATCCTTTGGGCAACTCAAATAACATTTGAAAAGTCCTTTGACAGCTGATTAGTTGAGTTCTCCGATGATCAGTGTTTCAGAAACTGGGCGTCAGTACTCGAAATATTGATTTATTGAATAAAAAGATGCTAAGCTGCTCTGATTCTCCAAAAACAAAACAGATATTTTTTTAAGTGACTGATTTGATACTATTTATAATCATAAGTGCTATTCACGCTTTCAGAACGTTTTAATTTTTCATACGCGATAGTTAATACAGTATATTATACACTTACACTTGGAAATAATGTTCTTCCTGTTCCTTTTCCTATATGTTATTAAAGTATTATTAAAGTAATATTAAAATAAACTGTTTTTATTAACAAATTGTCTTGAAGCTATAATGAACAGGGTCTCTTTCTTAATTACCTGTATTATAGGTCCCCGGGACATATAAATAGTCCTGACTGCGTACATAGGAATGCATATCACTGAAGCGAGTGCCACAGACCAGCCAGCGATCCCGGAAGCTTCGCGTAATGAGTACACAGTAATCACCTTGAGTAATTAAAGAAATAGTAAGGTGGCATTACAGATCCATCCTATTTAATGTCTATTCTATAAGAGTCTAGAATAAATATGGAAAAAAATGTGACTATTGAAAAATAGTACAGAAACGCAATAAATCTATGTATTTTTCTTTATGTGAAAAGTTGTCAAGCTAGCAGGCGGTTCACCTGATGTTAAATGAATACCGCCACACATGCACATTTACAACATCCATCGTTTGCTGATGCGTTTATTGTGCGACCTTAAAAAATATCAGCCCCGGCTACCTCACTCGCCAGATGAAACACGATAGTTTAATACTTCCACTTGACGTCGGTCTTCTGTGAGACGATGGACGAGCCCACGTATTCTTGCAACAGCTGAAGTTGCTGCGTGGCCCTACCACATGCTTTACTTCTTTCTTGATTGCGTACGATAATATTTTCTTCATGTGTAAAGTTGTCCAGCGGCAGGCGGTTCATCTGATGTTAAGTGATAACCGCCGTCCACAGACAACTGCAACACCCGTAAGTTGGTAGATGCGTTGCCACCTTTTATTAAAGTGGGCCCCGGCTACCTTAATAAAAGGTGGCAACAACTACACGCCGGTCTTCTGTGACTTCGTGGTACTTGTTGTGCCGTGCGTATTCGTGGGTGGTGGTTATCACTTAACATCTGGCAGACCACCGTTCGCAACCTTCAACTTGAAAAAGAGGCCTATTTAAAAAAGCGGGTATACCGATAGTATCACTGGTAGGATATATCTCCATAAGAAAAGCCAGAACCGTCGCAGCGGTCTGCCAGTCATGAACAGCACGTCCACGCTCATCTTGTCTTGTCCGTAAGTGTACACGGCGGCGATGATTTCCATCGCGCAGACTGTCGGAACGCAGGCAATGGCCACGTGGGCGTCCAGAAGACCAATCACATGGAGTCCTCCCTTAACAGAAAATCAAAACTTAATGGAAACATTCACATTTGCTTGTATATATCCATACGTGTCATAGAAACAGATGCATTTGCCTGTATATCTATATTTATTCTTATAATTTATTTTATAATGTAGCCTGACTATACTAATAAAAATGAAAGTTTTACTAGACTATGTTCTATACTATCTTGTGTGTGTTCTCATTTAAAAGAACATAACATAATTATCAATCTGTTGGTTTGTGAAGCCTTTTCTTGAAGTGCGCTGTTTATGAAACTAGCTTTGTGCTACTAATGTAACTAAAATATAACCAGCATAAAGTGGTAGCGTCTTGACGATCAATAAGAAAGTGTAATGCTTCTATATTGAACAAAGGTATTTGATTTGAAAAATTAATTTAAATAGTAGTTTATGCAAACATATAAATAAAATAGACTATTAAAATAGACTATAAATACAGTTAATTTAATGTAATGATTATATAATGGATACATTTATATTTAATTTTGCCACTGACCTTCGTATTGCATATTATTGAAATACCGAATAGAGCAACACAAGTCAGAAGAGTGATCAGTTTTCTACGATGCCGCAGCTTAGGGTACTCGTCTAGAAGGCCTGCTATTACAGCTTCAATGGTGACAAACTAAAAAAAAAAACATTATCTTTATCCGATCATGAACTCTACCCTCGTTTTAAACTTCAGTTGAAGACTAACTGAAGTTTAAAACGAGGTAACCCTTCAAAACATGCCACAGTCATTATGTCCCAATCAGACGTTATTTCCATTGGAAAAAGTTTTAAGCCTAAATTCCATACACTTACTAAATATTCTTATTTGTATCATAAAAATTAATATTTTCATTCGCATGTATCGAATGTTTCATATATACAACAGCTTCGCTTCATTCCCGCGCTATGAAAATATAACATTCAAATCCGTGTCTTGATTTAAACTTACCATTGTGTCGATGCCAAGAAAGAAGAGCATGACAAAAAAGGTCACAGCCCAAAAATTCGGAGCGGGCATCAATGACACAGCGGCGGGGTATGTGACGAAGGCCAGTCCTGGACCAGCGGTGGCTACTTGGTCTACCGGCACCCCCGCACGATCAGCAGCAAACCCGAGCACCGAAAAGACTACGAACCCAGCCCAAACGCTCGTCCCGCTGTTTACTATTGGTATTATTATTGACGACCTGAAATCAAACGCCGGATAACACGATGCACAAATAAGTTTGTGCAATCTTCAATTACAGCGCAACTGAGTTCACAGGTCGATTAAAGCGAAGTGCGGTACGAAAACGTTATGTAAATAAATTAACGTATTAGTCGTAAATGGATTTATCGGGTGCGAATGGACATGACATATCCATTATATTAAGTTAAATTCTGCTGAAATTTAAAAGTTATATAATTTTTAGTTTAAAATGGACAGACCTTAAATTATTATAGTGGAATTTGTTGAAACTGGCCATGCTGACTAGACCTCCCCACCCTGGGCCAAGTGAGTAAAAAATCTGAGTAGCAGCATCAGCCCACACCTATAACATACAACTTTTGGTGTAGGAACGACATTCATCATAAATTCATAGTGTGATATCTATAAAGTAAACCTTGGGTTTTTTCAACTGTGTCCAATCCGGCAATATGAAATATAAAATGCCCTGAATGGCGCCAGGCAACGTCACACCTCGTACGAATAAAGCAAATAGCACCACGTACGGGAACAAAACCGTGAAGTAAACAATCTGAAAAATAAAAATGCTATTTCGAGTCCGGTACGTGGAAAATGTGACTGTAAGCGGCAGTCTGCCAACAGACGCTATTTCGGCGTCACATTCCCAAACTCACCTTACCGACGCTCTTGACACCGTTGCATATACAGAGGTAAACGAGCAACCAACATATCAGGTTGCACCACAATACGGGCCACACGATACCCCCAATTTCATGAATACTCGGTGACGCTTGTAACAGTCGTATGCTAAAAACAACATAAAATGCACTATACAAATTCTAAACAAAGCGGTCTTAAGTTCTCAACTTACTGGAAGAATTCGTCTTCAGGAGTCCTCATTAAGCCTATTGTTGCATTGACCGTGGAGTTACTATTTATCTGAAATTAGCAAAATTTATGATCATTGTTATTGATGAAATACTATTATTTCAATATGCAAAAAAAATAAGAACAGCACCTCAGTACATCTATTAGTATTCCATGAGTTGCCGCAACTTTGCCAAGGTAATGGCGTGGTAAATGAATGAAAGATATACAGCAAAGGATAAGACATAATCGCAGCAAAATAAATAATTGCTATTATGTTCAAGACGACTACGGCATACCCCGCTCCTGCCAACAACAGTTTTATACCACATTACATATTAAAAGTATGTATAATAATTTCTTTAAGAATATGGATACGATAAATGAGATTGCGTACCTTTGAATAGTGGATTGATATTGAAAACTGAGATACATCCTGCGCTCGCGAACTGTCCCAATGTCGTTTCCAAATACACAAGTGGAATACCGCATATTACAAGTGTTAAAAAGTAAGGTATAAGGAATGCACCTGAAAAGTAATAACATTCTAGCAATAATTTCTGTCTGAAGATTAAATAACATTAAAGGCAATGATATCATATACAAATTCGAGGAATATTAATAAAAATCATTGCATATAGGACAAACTGGCAAAGTTTTCAACATATTCTTGTTCGTGAAAGTGAAAACTTCTTTAGGCTGGCTGAGCACTTTACCCCCCAGGGCTATTTACCTTACTCACTAGACGAAACGCGAAAGTATAAGCAGGACACCTCGACTTCACGCCGGCCTCTTGAGAGGCCGTGATAGTTCCTCGTACCAGCCTGCCTATTCGTGCAACAGCTGAAGTTTTCGTGGTCCTATCACAGGCATTGTTTCTTTCTTGATTGCGTACGGTAATAATTTTGTCCCTGTTTAAAGTTGTCAAGCGAGCAGGCGGTTCACCTGACGCTAAGTGAATACCGCTGCTCATTGACATCTACCTCACCCGATGGCTTGATGATGCGTTAACAACCTTTAAAAACGTTGACCCCGGCTTCCTCACTCGCCAGACGAAACTTAGAAGTATAACACTTGCACTACACGCTGGTTTTCTGTGAGGTCGTGGTACTTACCCGGACGGACCTGTGCATTCGTGCGACAGCGAAGACTGTTGCGTGGCCCTAATACCACAGTTAATAAAAAAAATATTAAAGGCAAATTTACGCATCATATTTAGGTACGTTAAAACTAATAGCTGTGAAGTTGTTTTAAAATGGGCTTTTCACGCCAACTTTGTTCAGAGCACAAAACGTACCTCCGCCATTTCTATAGCACAGGTATGGGAATCTCCAGATGTTTCCGATGCCTACGGCGTATCCAAGACATGACAGTAGATACTCGGTCTGGCTACCCCAACGCTCGTGCGACCCTTCAGCCATTCACGTACAACTGAATCGAATGCTGGTCGCGATCCTCCCTAGCAGGCGTAATTCCCTCTTATCATATCATTCATCTAATTGAGGAAATGGATGCTTATCCGACTATTGTCCTTTCCTTCACTCCGTCACGGAGGGCACCAATTGATATTATTGTTTGTTTTTAAATTTAACACGTATTAAAGTGACAAATTTCTTGTATATTTATTTATTACCTACATGAAGATATTCGCTATGAAAGAAATGTTTTATGAAAATCACATTGAAGCACTAATACTGATTTGAGATCCAAGTGTAAAAAAAGTTTGGTTTTTGGCTAATATATATCATTCGTATTACACTTTGGCCGCCGTCTGTCTGTCTGTCTTTCTATCTGTGCGTCTGTCACCAGGCTGTATCTCATACACCGTCATAGTTAGACAGTTGAAATTTTCACAGATGATGTATTTCAGTTGCCGCTATAACAACAAATAAACTCTATAACAAAAAACTAAACGCCGGGACTCCCATACAACAGCCGTTTTTATAGATAATGGTACGGAACCCTCCGCGAGTCCGACTCCCATTTGGTCAATTTTTTACACGACGTTATCTAGTCTCAAATTAAAGAATATACTCTGGGTGACTGATAAACGTAATAATTAAACATAAGTTTCAAATTATACTAACAATATGTTCATCGCACAATATTATTCCCAGAATTTGGGATCGAATCACGTTGTATTGTACGAGACAGGTTTACTATCCACTAGGCCAATAGGGTCGTAAAACAATCGTAGCATGTATAAGTAAATATAAAAAATGGTACACCTATGATTAAAAAATAGTAGACCTATGATTTAGTATTTTAAGATAACATGATAAATTAGACGATGATAACATCTTTCAACAGAAGAATTAATTTAAATTAGGGTCAAGTACTGCTTATGTCGTAACATAAGCAGATAAAAATATTTTGGGTGAAAGATTAGTCTTCCAGCAAATGTAACTAACTAGTCGTCGTCAATATTTACTAAGAATTGGTTTGGAGCAATCCTGACACTGGTTTTTGTTTCAGTACATTCATAATTTTTTCCTTATAATATGTACAATAAAAAATAAACAGTATGAGAGGACCTCTCATACTGTTTATTTTTTAATTTTAAGTTAATTACTAAAATGAAGGATAATTTAGACAATTTTATGATTTTGAATTAGTTATACTGAATACAATATTTTATATACAGTAATACCACGACCTAAGCTACCTCGACATACGCGAATTCGTAGTTAAACGATTTCTTAATTTCCTCGTCTATTCGTTTTTTGTGTGAACGTAGCCGTTTTTGTGTGAATGTCAAGGTAGCCCTCAGTTCAATTGGAAAAAGGTAAACAATTTTGGAAAGCATAGACTCCAACGAAGAGCGCATTTCTGTAATAAAACATAAAAAAATTACTAGCATGCTACGAGGAGATAATTATTGTGGGAGAAGACTTCGTTAGATTTTATAAAACCAAACGCACATAAAAAAAAACTTCGGATTGTGTTTAAACAGTTTATAATAATATATTTATTCATTACGAGTATCTAAAATTAGTTAAACATTTATTTTCTAAATTATTGTACTATTTAGTCTCCGGTCTCAATTAAACATACTTTTTATGTCTTTACATGCAAAATTGTACCACGACTTACGCGAATTCGACTTACACGAATAGCGCTCGGTCCCACTTATTGTTAGTAAGTTCTGTGTATTAATTGCTGTAGATTCATTGCTGTAGATTTATTCAAAAAGAAATTATCCATAATGTTTTTTGTTCTATATTTTTTAAAGGTTTCCATGATCAGTGCGAAGTTGAATGCTGTATCGTCTAAATCTAAACTCTTAACAATAGAAATATACCTACATAAAAAAGCACAATTATTAAAATGTTACATAGCTTCAGATTTGAAAGAAAGTAGTTCAAGACATCTTTAATAATAATAGCTATCCATTGGAAGAAAGAATGTCGTGACATAAATAAATCTTAAAAGGAAGGCCACGGTTTTCGCTTGTTAGTGTTATAACTCTCTCTGAAGTGTCAAGCGCTGTCGCTCTTGAGGAAGTTGACTATGCTAGTCCGTAAATAAAATGATTGATCGTTTTAAAAAAATATTTCCTTTAATAATAAAGTAATGTTTCAGAACATAAATTTAAAACCTCTTTCATTAGTAATTGTTTAAGAATACCGTGATGTTTAAACGCTCAAAGTGTCAATTCCAAAGCCAAAATGACAGGTTAAATTTTCGGGTGGTTGCTGCCTGGACGATCCTTGGTCGGCGTCCGTCTTGCCCTTCGTTACTTTCGCGGGCGCTTGAGTGTATTGCACCGTCTAAAATTAACGAAGTATTTGCTTACGTTACTGTATTATTGATTTTTTTAAGCTGTTTTGTATTTCATCATCATCATTTCAGCTTGTTAAGAGTCCACTGCTGAACGTTAGCGTCCCCCACAGATTGCCAAGAAGCACGATCCAGAGCCACTTGTTTCCATTGATTTCTCGCACATTGCCCAGGTCGTCATTGCATCTAGTGGGGGTCGTCCCACACGGCGATGACTATGGTTTAGGGGTAAGCCAGAATCCATGAGTGCGATAAGGCTCTTCGCGTTCGAGTGTGGCAGCTCATGCGTGTGTTATTTTAAACGGAAGAATGTCACCTACCGTCAATCGAGATTCGGTATGGACCGTGATCTTTGACCGTATTAATCAACTTTTCAACCCTCAACTTGCACCACGCACCCACCTCGCATACATCTAGTGTGCTAAGTGAGCCCACTGGCCGGTATATATTCTTACATCATTCTACAAAGGTTTGTTCTTTAGTTGAAATAATAATATGCAAGTCAAACAAACATCAGTGTCGTATTTGTTGCGATTCCACTTTTTTAGTCAGTGCTTTTTTTTAATTTACAATATTTGGCTACGCGGATTCATGTAAATCTCGAGTTAACAGAACTAAGAAAGGTGTTTTGTCTACCGGATAAGGCCATTGTTCTTTATTTTATGTTTCAAATTATTTACTACTAGCTGCTGTTCGCGACTACATCTGCGTAGAATAGGCTGAAAGCGTAACATTCAGACAGAAAGACATATAGGTATACATAAAAATATGTATTTATAGCCTGTGTTTTATTCTGATGTGTAAGCTATATTATTGTAAAGTTTCATTAAAATCTATTCAGTCGTTCATTTGCGTGAAAGAGTAACAAACATACATACAAACTTTCGCCTTTATAATATAAGTAAGGAAGTAAGGATTAAAATTTATAGGAAGAAATTATTTTATAAGGGAAATAAAAAATTCTGCGGCATCTTACCGAGAGGTCACCGTCACCCCAGTGAATCGCATCAACTGTACCAAGCGAGTCGTCCCAGTGGAAGTGCTGTGCAGGCTGGCTCCAGTCTGGCCTTTTTAGAGTGCACTTGATTGTAGCAATCGTGGCCCGTTGTTCATTAGGAAGGGGCCGTATCAAATGCGCGCTTTTCTTATCGACTTTACTTTGTTTCGAAGGAATGCTCTGAAACGTGAGAATAACAAGCTATTTACTGTACTCACGTTGTATTGATAAATACTCAGTAAAGTTCGATTCTTATAGTAGAAACTAATTTCTTTTTACTGTAGAGTAATTAAGAGCAGTGTTATTAAAAGATGGGTCTGAATGGCACAATTACGATTTTTAGTTCGCAGATTCTTATCTCAGTACCGACTGCAAAATCACATTCGCGCCCGTATAAATAAGATTATTGGAAGGTGGGTTATCTTAAAGTATGTCTGACTAGTGGCTTTTGAGATGTGGGTTAATTTAATCCATGTCATTACATGAAAATGTACGAATGAAATTGCTTTTGTTGAGCGGATTGATTACCGCCGAAATGTAATCAGTGAGATATTGTTTAGTACTCGACGTTGTTTAGTAGTAGGGTTGCAGATTCTTTGCCATCTTTTCATAACCTGGGCCCCGGCTACATCACTCAGACGAAACACAAAAGTATTACACTTCCACTTCACGCCGGTGTTCTGTAAGGTCCTGGTACTTACCTGGACGGACCTGCTCGTTCATGCAACAGAGAAGACTATTATGTGGCCCTAATAGGGCCGCCCTATCACAGTTATTATTTATACATATAAATGTATAATGATAAAGTAATAAGGTATTTCATTGTAAAATTACAAGGACTTGTAAATAAAACGCAATTTATTTAAATTAATTAACATTAGAGATTACCATCGTATAAATGAGTCTTATAGTTACGACCGTCCGAAAAGTGTCTCTCAGTGCAACTAGGTTTGGGCAGAATATTCTTACAGCTGGCTCCTGAAAACTCATGATTTTGTTCCATTGCACTTTATTGCTCTGGAAAGTGGTGAAATGACGGATCTCACGCGAGTTTACCGCAGACAGACGATACAGGTCTGAACCGTTCGAAGAAGTTTCACCTTTTGGGAAAATATCAGGCGTGTTAAATTATTTGGGAATTTATAAAAACCATAGATATTTTTTAAAGGTTAAATAAACTATTTCGTTTAAGTTATATCAGAAAACAGATGTTTGCTCGTACGGAATATTCATTCCGAGAGAGAAGTAATCTACATGTAAAATTATTAATGCAATTGCTAATAACTACAAATTGAACTACAATGAAACGATTACTTTCTCTTATCGTCGATTTTGTAACATAGACATAATAATGTTCATGATATAAATACTGGGAACAAACATAAATTAATTTTACCCATAAGTGATCAATGTCACCAACAAAAACCCAGAAATCATTCAAATTGCATCAATAGCTAAATTTAAAGAAGTTGTAAAAGAAAGTTTGTGTGTTACGGTCTATTATAATATTAATTAACTATTATATTATAATTATAATTTGAATTGATCGTTCCCGGCTCTTTCAATGGGAATTTTTATATTGTATTTAATATATTCACATAATGTATGTCAAAAAAAGGGAAAAATGTAGTCCCCTGAGTTTCTTTCGTTTCCCCGCTTCTTCTCAGTTCATTGGCTTTATTTTCCGAACCGATGGTAGTTTTTTGACCATCGATAAGTGAGTGTAATGCTACTATGTTGAATAAAGATATTTGAATTTGAATTGGTATAATCGTTTCGTCGTCTCTCGGTTCGATTCCCACAGCGGCGACAATCTTTTCGTACTTTTTCTACAAGTTTTAATTGAAATAATCCTTCAACAAAAGTTATTTAAAAAAATATTCTTAATAAGTTTATATTATTGTTAGTCGAATCTATTTATGCGTTCATATCCAATGTTTCCATCAGAGTAATAATTATGGCCAGAGTGCCATATAAAAATGACACCTCCTTTTATATTTTTTTTTTGCTTAGTCATAAGTCTTGACAGTCTCTACCGTAAAGCAAATAACGCAATCGGCCTGATTCAGCGAATGCTATATGAAAACATACTTGTCAGGGCTCGTCTTTGAATCATCTAACGATTGAGTATGGCCTTTGGAAAATGGAAGAGAATGACAGCATCTGACGCAGTAGTTTCCGACCAAATCTGTGCAATAACATCGTCCCTGATAGAATCTCCGAAGAAATAAATTGTGCGTCAGAAACACCACGTCTAGATGTATTACGTCTAATATCTCATGCTAAAGTAAGAATTGCCAGAAAAACACATTTCTTCAATACGGGACTATTGTCAACGAGCCCAGAGGTTGCGGTGTTTAATAAGTGGTATACGAGGCAGCCTTCGGGAACGGTGTTTGACATAATGCGATTTCTAATGTTTACATAGCTGACATTAGTTGATTAATTGCACGTTTATGAAAACTAGCTTCCTATAATCCAGATTATCTCTTCGCGCCTTATAGTTTCTTCTCTCTATAATAACTTTGTCAACACAATGTGGTAGGGTAATGGTTCTAATTTGGTCTAGATTTCACATATTTTATGCGCAGAAGATTTAAATTTTTCAACCAAAATTCGTAAACTATACAGTTAAGAGTTATTGTGAAATGAATTAAGTAAACAGGTTTCCAATATAGTTAAAAAAGTGTAGAACCATACATTCGGTAGTCGTTATCCCTAGATACTCTTATATCCACCCAGGATACATTTCCTCTTGTAACCATAATATTTGACTTTAGTCTTTTTTAAAAAAGTAAACGATGTTGACTTACCGATGGCAGTTTTGCTCTTTATCGTTGATGAGATCTTGCTAGGTTCTAGGTATATATCATCTTCAGGTGGCGGTAACATTTCAATAAGCGAATCGTTGTTTCGAAACATTAGAAACCTTCTTCTATCGGAATCCAATAAAGGAAGCTCCAGCTCTACATGAAACGATGTAATAGCTCCCTGTTCGCAAAGCATTTTATGTTATTTCTTAAGCTTTATTTTGTGTTTTTTATTGATTGAATTTAATCGCAAAAGGGTTAAAATCGAGCTTTTAGCGACTCTATTTATGTTCGTAAACGTCTACGTTACGACTGTTGACTGAACTCGCCTTGTATACATTACTAATGCACTTACTTTATCCACTTTTGGTGGTTGTGGGGCAGAAATAATTCGAAAAACGGTAAAATTAAAATACGTGGAACGTAAATCGTCGGGATGCGTCTCAGAGTTTTCTTCGGACCGATCGGTATGAAGAATTTCTCGTAGATCTAGCCATTGTAAATTAGATAGTTTCGATATTGTAGTCCGAGCATAAGCCGCACACACCTAGAACAATCATAATGTATTCACGTTGCTTAGTTAATTAGTTAAGTGAAGGAAAACTTTTTTGTTGTCTCTAATTAGTTTCATTGATTGATTCCTACCAATTTTCAAGCTATATAGGCTTGAAATTTGGTAGGAATATTCCTTTCGCCGGGTAGAGGTCAGCTAAGAACACGGATTTCACGAAATTCCACCAACAAGTGGTGTTGCGTTTACTGGGAAAACAATTTTTGGCATATCAGCTAGTATTTCAATATTTTCAATTGCTTCTATCTATTCAAAGCACGTTCATGAAAATAATTATTGTTGTGTAAATGAAGAGATGACTCGATGGCGCAGTTGCTGTTGTCTTCAGCGACGAGGGTTCGATTTCCACATGAGACAAGATTGCGTGACCCAAAGATAATCGTTTCATATCTTGGTTCTTAATAAAAAAAGGTGTGTTTTCGTTAGGCAGGCGGCCGGTCGTAAAAAATCTAGCCAATACCACTAACAGATGATTTACATGTCGTGCCAACGCTACATACAGGAAGTTGATAGTGTTGTTTACGACTAAGGAAATGCTTGCACATTTAAAGAAAATACATTCACATTTTTTTTAGAACTTGAATATGTTTGTAAAAGTAAAACTGTTTCATGAGTGAAATCTTAGATTTAATTGTTAAAATTAAAAACATTTTAAAGTTTTGCATGAATACTTACTTTCAGTAGAAGAAAAGTAAATAAAAATGTACATTTTGATTAAAGTGAAAGTAAATAAAATTTATGTAATGGAAAATAAATAATATAAAATACTAGCTACTTTGAAAGAAGAGATTTAAAATGGCAGAGGTTTGACGGGTTGTCTCCCAAATAATAAGATATTTTAAGAAGTCATTTTAAGTGATTATAGCCTCTTAGATTTAATCACATATAAAACAACAAAAATATTTATGACAAAATTTTATAAAAGCGCCATCTATTAAATAAATGTAATATTACTTCACTACTTACTGAACATGGGTTTCCGGCAAGCTGAAGCGATACGAGGCTTGGTAATTGTGCAAGACCATTTAGTGCAGATTCTAAATCACAGATGTCATTATCTGACAAATCCAAAACCGTAATACTATCGGGTAATGTATTCAATCCGTTGATACCACCTATTGTAAAAATATTAATTTTAATAACAGCATGAATTACGTATAGATAATTAAACGTACAGTTATGTAGAACTACTAGTCTCATACAATAAAAACTAGAGAAATTATTTAATGAATTAGAAGTTATATAAGAATTCATGATACCTAAAATGTTTTTTGCTAGCCCCAAATACAATAATCCAGAAGGTAAATTTGTTGCAATAGTCTCTACATTTTCAATCATATTATTTTGCAACTCTAGAACTCTTAGCCCGCGTGGAATAAAGGTACTATCTATTTCATTGAGGAAGTTTCCACATAAATTAACGCGGACCAGTTTCCGAAATCCGGTTATGCCTTTATCTAACGTAGTCATCTAAAACATAAACTCTTTCCGTAAATATATCCAGGGTATCCGGTAACATTATAATTGTTCAACGTACTTGTGAGTCATTTACTCTCAACACGGTGACATCTTTAAAGTCTCTTAACAACATATTTCGATCGTTCTTTCGTACTGATTTATTGATTAAGTTTATCACGTCATCAGTGATGCAGTTGGCATTGTGGAAGCATATTTTGCTTTCCTCATTCGCAAATTTCTCAATATCCCAGAGTGTGGTTGGTAGGATTAATTCCCACTGGTCTGAAAGACTAATTTTAGAATTATTGTTCAGAAATCCGCTAAGGACACTCTTACTAATTTTAGCATTCAATGCTTCAGAAAAAGTAACTTCAGGTAGGTGATGGTAGAAACATTTCTTTCTATGACGGACTGCTTGTTCTTCAATAGTCCAATCAACACCCGTTTCTAATCTCTCTTGATAGCCTTGACAAAATAATATAAAATTATTTTAAATGTAAAGACTTTAATATTGACTATGATTTAAATACATAATAGATTAAATACGAACCTTCTATGGCATCATTTGGGACGTAATTTAAACTAGTGTTGCTAATTTCTGGTCGAGTTATAGGTGGTAAGATTTTTTTTGATGATTCTTTAACCTTCGGCGGCATACTACAGTTTGTTTACACGGGATAATATTGACAAACGTCAATAGTTACGATTTTAAAAGCAGTAGCCAACATTTAATAAAATACTCTAGTTTTATATTTAAGTAATATACATTACACAACTGTATTTTAAATTAATACATAAACTCGCTGTTTATATATTATACATTGAATACTTTTAAATAAAGCAATTATTTTATTGATATCTTTCTTTTTTTCTTCATAATTTGGTAATTTAATTTTTAGTGCATTGTCGATAAAGCAGTCGTGCAGTAGTTTTATAACATGATCACTAGAAGTCGCTATAGTGTTTGTGTTTCTGTTTATACCGTACCGTAACGTGTGGTTTGGTCGGATTTCGCGATCGCGATTGACGATCGTTGCCTATGTGTGCGTTACTTATATTATACGGCCGGACTTATTTTGCTGTATGAACGTCACATATTTCATTCACTTGCTATGTTCGCTAAGCTCTTACATGTCTACAATGTGGTGTTAGTTTTTTTCCTACGCAGACGTGTTTATATTCAAGATAATTGCGTACATTTCTCAACCACATGTGGCGACTATTTCTTGTGTTCTATAATGTGACATTGACATTTATAGTGTTGTAAATGTGCGGGAAATTTGAACTTTAGTAGAGAGTGCACATTCCCGCGCGCGGATTTATTTATATTTTTCGTTAATGTGATTGTTGTTTGACCGAGTGAAAGTAAAGTCGTGTGAAACGAGTACTGATATTTCAACCTCTAGGTACACGATTTTGACCTTAGTGTGATTGGCAAAATACCATATATGCGACATCTCAGCTTCATTTCCGTGATCAGTATCTATTTGCAAGTGGAAGATATAAGAGGTAGTACCGGTTGCTTGTTTTTATTGATTGATTGGGATAAGTTATAATAATTTTCATTTGATATGTGATTTTTCGATTCATTATTATTTTGTTAAAGTCGAGTGCTATATTAAAATGTATGTAGTACTCTCACGCCCGGTTTCTGAAACACTAATCTTCGTAGATGTCAACTAATCAGCCGTCAAATGGCTTTTCAAATTTCATCCTTTTGGCAACTAAAATGAAATTTGAAAATCATTTGACAGCTGATTAGTTGACATCTACGATGATCATTGTTTCAGAAACCGGCCGTTAGTGTTTTTGGTTTAATTCAGCCAGAAAACAATTACCTAGATAACATATATCTAATGTTATGTGCATTTTTTCGAGAATTTAAATGCATCTTTGATATATACAGCACAACTATTTTTATGTTATAAAAATATATTAATTGGAATCAATTTAGAAATTAAAAAAAAAAAATTATTTCTCATAAAAAGGCTCATAAGTTTGATGGAATTTTATATAAAAAATTCTGTTACAGCAATCGGTTTATAACTGATGATAACAGGTGACACCGAGAAGCTATATCGATTTAATTAGCTGAATATCATCGTATCAACGTATATTTGACACATATTACAACGTATATTTTATGATTTTTAATGTCAAGCGAGCACCTGACATTCAGTGAACACAGCCGTCCACGGACATCTACAGCACCTAATGTGCCCATATGTGAACCAGTAGAAACTGTTGCGGGTATACCTGACACGGGATAATGTTTTTTGAGGGAACAGGAATATGCTAAATAATCTTAGTATGTGTAAGCAATGTATAGGTAATATAGGAAAGCATTATTATGATACCGTTACCTCACGACCGATACGTCACTTTCTATCTCCTGTATAAACATAACCATTCCGCGATCACTATGTTTTCCATGGTGGTAGAGCCACACATCAGTCTTCACTGTGGCACAGAAGTCTAGTGGCAATGCATCTACAACTCTACGGGTGTTGCAAATAACAATGGAATAAAATAAATAAACTTATACGGAACCGTGACCTGTTCCTCTTTTCTCTCCGAGATAGAGTTCGCAAGGAAGAAATTCGGAAGGTTACTAAGCTGCTGTGGAGATGGGCCCGCGATATAGCTCGTAGAACCGTTAAACGTTGGAAAATAAAGGTTCTCGAGTGGCCTCGTACTGGCCATCGTAGTGTAGGATGACCCCCCACTAGATGGACTGATGACCAGTGTAAGTGTGTGGGAAGTCGATGGATGCAAGTGGCTCAGGATCGTACTTCGTGGCAGTCTGTTAGGGAGGCCCATACTTAACAGTGTAACATCCTCATAATTTCAGCCTGTTAAAACTGAAATGATGATGATGTTGAATAACTTGAAAGAATTAAAAGTTATCTATATATATTTTCTGAAGTTACCTAAAATATTTTTTGCTACTCCCAAATGTAATTATCCAGAAGGTTTATTTGTTTAATACATCTTTAATTATATTTCTTTGAAAATATATGATTCTTACCCCGTGTGGAATAAATTTACCACCCATTTCTGTTTTAGAAATCACTTATTTAAAACGATTGGATATTTCCTACAACCATGAAATTTGATAAGACTTAGAGCATATGTAAGATATTTGGTGCATGTGAAGTATCGGATTATCAATAAATGTGTTGTTGTGTTTGTCTCTCTCTCTTCGTAATGTTTTTGGCATAGCCCGTGTTGTTATAACCTGATAATGTAATGATTATTATATTCTGTTCCTTGCTAGAGTCACATTCTCAAAAGTGTTCCCTTTTGTTATTTATTTTGAATTTTGCATCGATATTCGTGTAATATTCTTACTGATTGAGTAAAAAGTTAAAAATGATTCAGCCACGCCCAAAACGTTATTAAAAGTGATACTCTGAAAGTATTGGTGGAAACGAACGCAAAATTGGTGGAGAATTGTGCGTTATAAAACCGCGTAAAACCTCTTCCAAAGTGCAACAACCGTATAAGTACTGCCGTGATAAGTAAATGAAGGACATCTTGCGTTTGCATATATTTGCTTTATCATCTTAATACGAATGACTTGTTTTAAGGAGATGCTTATTCGGTTTTGGTTAATAGTAGATCTAATCTTTTGTACTTACTCGTTACTTATACTTATATATATGTCATCGGATGCAAGGTCTGGAAGGAAAGAAAAAATAACAAGGCGAAAAGCGTTATATTTTTGAAACAAGCAAATATTTAATGATTAGCATTTGATCTGGTAATGTGAGACTATATTATAACAGTTATTAGGTACTATTTATTTTGTGTTTTTGTTAAGTATTTGATTTTTTACTGTCTGGAACAATTTGTTACCAAACATATTGCTCAGTTTTTGTTAATCTTTTAACATCATTTTCTTAATTATCAAGTTCATATCCTATGTGCAGTCTTAATTAGCAGTTGTTCCGTATCGTTATCTATAAAAACGGCAAAACAATCATGTCTGTTGAATGGGAATCCCGCTTAAATATTTTTATTCTGTTTTTATTTTGTTGTTATAGCAGCAACAGAAATACATAATCAGTGAAAATTTTAACTGTCTAACTGTCACGGTTCATGTGATAGAGCCTGGTGGCAGACGGACTGACAGACAGACAGACAGCGGAGCCTTAGTAATAGGGTCCCGTTTTACCCTTTGGGTATGGAACCCTAAAAAGCATTATTTCTTCGTTTGTGCCCATTCAAAATTCATGTCAGTAGAATTTGTATATGTAATATACTATGTATATATAAATGTAAAGTAACAGCCTATACATGTCCCAATGCTGGGCAAAGGCCTCCTCTATACAGAGAGTATCAGGGCATAGTCCACAACGCGGCCCCACTGCGGATTGGCGGACTTCACCTATCTTGTGCACCGTGGAGCACGTGATAAGTTAGCACTTAAAGTAGAAAACTTCATTGGTGCCGGCACCGAACTCAGGTTACTCGAGTATATTGAATTAAAGGCAAGCGTCCGGACACTATCACACTGAGCTATCACGGCTCATTATATACATAATGAATCTTCCAGCATAGGCGATTTCAATAAAGCGCAGTTGCTATAACATCAATATAGTTATGGTCGTATATATAACTAACAACTACACACGCACGCACAATACTTCGTGCTCTCTTACCCGCGTTTTTTTAAAAATTATTATTACAACCATTCATTTGTAAAATATTAATATAACTTATGTAAAGTACCGTCCATATAATTTCATTTTTTATGTTTTATATGAAGCGCACTCCGGCTCCCAAGATACAGGCACTGCCTAGTTTGGGAACCACAGTGTATTCATTGTCTTTTTCTTATTGTAACTCACATTAATTATATATAAATACTCTGTACTGATATTATTATAGAAATAAATAAATATCATATCATCATATCGTATAATTTTCATTTTGAAAACGATTTAAGTTATCACTTCTATCGTTAATATAAATATCAATGGACGTATTAGATTTTTGGGTGGAATTATTAGAACTTAAAATTTAATGTAATGTTAGAATATTAGTGTAATGAAGTATGTAATATTTGTGATTTTAAAACTCTGGATGAGAGTGAAAATAGTCCGAACGACACATTTTATGAATATATCAGTTGTATCTTGCACAACTTGCAGCACCTTCGTGGCAATTGCGCCAATGACTTTTTTTTGTAGCTTAATCATTTCCGCTTCGTGTCATTTCCGCTTCGTGCTTCCACACGGAACGGACGATACTCTGAGCCGGAGGGCCCATGCCAACCGACCCGGAAGCCATCTTGCAACCGTTGTTGCTAATTCTATTTCTTTTATCTCTTGGTGTGCACTGTTCGCCTCATCGTTGTCGTGTTTCGCGGTCTACGGTTAGGGAAGTCTCAAGCAAGAAGAAAGAAGAAACATTATAGAAGAAAGAAAAAACATTATAGAAGAAAGAAGAAACTTTGCCCGACTTCCGAGCGGATAGTGTTAGTGTAGTGTTGTGCTCGTAGGCAGGTTCCTGTCCGTAAATAGAATCTACACACATTTCTCGTCTCAGAGGCGGCATTGTAATTTTTATCTGTGTGCTTGTTGCATTAGGCGACAGCTAGGTACTCACCCTAGCGCACCTAAAGCGCAGGCGATTAAACGTTAATTTTTAG